AAATGATCAATTGACTACCTATGTTCCTACATTCTCGTCTACAACAAAATTTAGCAAAGGCTATAGAAAAAAAATATTATTTAATTTAAAACGTGCAAAAAATTAATAAAGTTAGGGAAATAAATATACTAATGGGTTCAATTGCCTACATACATTATTGAAGTTATACTTCTTTTTGGACGTTTAGAAAAAATTATGAGACTACAATTTTTACGATGCGCGCGCAGACCGACAGCCAAAAAGCAACATGATGAAGTTAGCTGATAACTGTTTGTTGTGTATATAATTATATTCTTTCCTTAAATGATATTCTATAAATATATGATTATAATATGCCTAATATGCCTTATTTAATTATTTTATTAATTTATCATTCCTTTTTCAAACATACGGGAAGAAATTTCTAACTTTTTTTGTTCTGTTACGCCAAAAAAAGTGTTATACTTTTTCTTACGATCGTACATAAATACACACACACACGCTTTTTTTTATTTAGTATCCAATCACTAAATATGACCTCCGCATTATGCAGAAGCAATATATACAATGTAAATGTGATATAAAAATATTTTTAATATTCACAGTTAGTTAAAATTTTTTCATGCATGAGTGTCCAATCCTCTGAGCGTTGTCGAATTTTTCTACTTTAAAGGTTTCATCAAACTTTTGTTTTTCTTTTCTATTTCTATTGTATGGGTTGTGGTTTTCTTATTCACCGTAAATACTATCTCTATAGTTTTTCTTGTTATATTTGTAAGGATTTCTTAAAAGCACACAACAGAGCGTAAAATCCATCCAGTCAGTCTATCTATATGTCCTACAATTATCATGTCTATTAATGCAATAAATATAATATTAGATCTCCAATCGGTCTGATTAATGAATTAGACGAGCCTGTTAAAATCTCACATTTTTTTAGTTCAAAAATAATTTACAATGGCATTTTAATGATTCAGGAATTGTATAAATGAAGAAACTTATAATAATTCAACTCCTTACCTGTCGCCAACTAAACCTTCAATATTTTATAATTTCTTTTTTCAGCCGTTGATGATGTTGTGTCTGATGGGCAAAGGGCAATCTCTTCTTCTAATCTCTTCTCTCCTTCTCCTCTTATAATGTTTATCAAAGTACAAAAAATAACTATGGATAAAAACTTTTTAACAAAAAAATAAAAACCGACTTCAAAAAAAAGCACTAAAAAGTAAAAAATAACTGATTGGTAGTTTTCATTTACTATACATACCTAATCAAATATTTTCGAAGTCGGTGTGCTTTGCTTTGTATGGGCTGGCAACGATTTCGAAAATATTTGATTAGGTATGTATTTAATAGGTAGGCTTTAATTACTTAGCCAAAGCACACCGACTTCGAAAATATTTGATTAGGTATGTATAGTAAATGAAAACTACCAATCAGTTATTTTTTACTTTTTAGTGCTTTTTTTTGAAGTCGGTTTTTATTTTTTTGTTAAAAAGTTTTTATTTTTCCCTTTTTAGTGTAGACAGTAGTAGCAAAGTAAGGATTCTAACGTGTTAGGCTTGTCAAATCAAACAAAATAAGCCCAAACTCAAAGTATCTACTATTAGCCGTTGAAGAGTTCCACCTATCCACCTTCTGGCCTTGCCATCAGATCAGGTCAACAACACTGAACCACTGTACTATCAAAGGAAATAGAAATACTTGCAAAGTTTCAAGCCAATATGACAATTAGAAATAGGTTAAATTCATCATTCGTTGTTTTTCCACCCTTACGGGTGGTATTTTTTTTTTGAAATTTAAATGGGACCAATCTGGAAGTATACCCTTTCAAACAAAACAAAAATTGTCCAAATCGGTTAATAAATGACGGAGTTCTGAGGTAACAAACATAAAAAAAAAAAAAAAAAAAAAAACATACAGTCGAATTGAGAACCTCCTCCTTTTTGAAGTCGGTTGAAAATAAATTACACTTTATCTACACAATTCTATATACAAAATAAAATCCGTCACGTTTTTGAATAAAATAAATAGCATATTTTTTAAGCAATTACTTACTCGTACAGGAAGTACAACGTACGCATTATTTAATTAAGTTTTCCTTTAAAAATTTCCTCCGTTATAATAAATTTACTGAATAAATAATAAACAATACCATTAGCTTATGAAGTAGAGCTTAATTATTAAAAACAATACTGCATCTCTCCATTTACTTCAGAATGTTTTTATTATTCAACAAGTCTTTTCAAATATTTGAGGTCTTGCAACATTTACTAAATATCTGTAAATCTACTTAATACTTCTGAGGCTATTAATAATTCTTTAAAAATATAATTTTGTACCCATGTACTCTATACAGTATCTTCTTTATATCTTGCAGGACAAATAAAGAGAACTTAGTAATGCGAGTCGAATATTGTTAACGATTAAATTTTTTTTCTTTACCAGGACAAAATAAACAAAACTAGAGTTCGCCAAGTGATTATTATTTTTTAATGATATTTTTTATTTATAAAAGTAAAGTCGATAACTATACATAATTCTCAATTTGACCACAGACTTTAACAATAAACAAAAGATAACATAATATGCGTGTGTGTGTCAAATACATGGTAGTGTGTGTAATGTTTTTTTATTGATTTAATGTATTTTTTATGCATAATTTAAAAAAAATATTAGCATTCTGCACTCCTTCTCTGTATCTATACATATAATAAAATTCTAACTAAGTCAAATCTGTACATTAAATATTTTTTAGAAAATCTGATTGAAATAGACATTATTATCGATACAGAGGCCAAATCTATAGTTTTTAGAATTTTTTATCTGTCTGTCTGTCTGTTACCGCATCACAGAAAAACTACAGGACGGATTTTGATGAAATTTGGTATGGTCATAGCTGATTATCCGGGTCAACATATAGGATACTTTTTACCGCTAAAAAATATCTCATTTCTGAGAAAAAAATGCAAAAACTGATTAGTATAAAAAAACGATGATACTATATAGATTTTAGCAAGTTAACTTACTAAATATGTCAAAAACTATTAAAAAAATAGCTAATCTTGAAAAAGTATATCAATAGCACTATTTTATTCATTAAAAAATATATTTTAATGAATATTTATCTTTGTATTAATTAGATATTTGTCAATAGATGTTGCCATGTGTCTTTAAAATACGTAGTTTTAATTCCAAAAAATTGAATGTACAAATTCGACCTTTCTATGATTTTAAAGAATTACTCCTAATAATAGATACATTAAAATTTAATGAAGCAGTATCTGTGCTTTAAATATTTTTTGGATAATTTTATTGAAATACACATTATTAACGCTAATAGAGGCCTATAGTTCTAAGAATTTTTGTCTGTCTATCTGTGACCGCATCACAGAAAAATCACTGGGGGGATTTTGAAGAAATTTGGTATGATAATAGCTGGTTATCCGGGTCAACTAATATACTAATACGAGTTTACTAATATATAAAACCTAAGAATTTTGTTTTGGACATATGAACGCGGGCGGAGCCGCGGGCAATGCTAGTAAAATATAAGTGTGGGAAATTTCATACTTCTCTGTCCGCGCAATTTTCGTAAAAAGGGGTACAAAGTTTTTGCTTCACGTATTAATATATAGATACTTAGTTAAATTTACGTGAATATTTGACATTTTAAATAAAACTATCTTTTCTATTTTTTTCGTAAATTTATTTAGATTTTTGGTCCGCGACGTTTCGAATACTTTACAGTAATTATGGTCACGGGAGAGACTAAGGTTTTAGACATCTCAAAGGTTATCATACAGTTGTTACAGACAGCCGACAGGTGTTGTGGATAGGCACTGTTACACGAAAAGATAGTTTTATTTAAGTAAAATAATAAACGTCTGTATAATAAATGTACATTGATATGTGCTAGCCGCATACGAAGATTAAGTTAATAAAAACAGGTAGCTCCACTACTACCCTCATAAAGATACGCCAAAAATATCGACGTAAAGTGGCAATACTGTTACACCCCCGTTACATTTCGTTCGGTAAATTAGAGCGCTGGAAATCCATATCCATTAAGTCTATCATCTTCCGCATAGCCTCCCCCTCTATCCTCTTCATCTCAGGTATCAAGATAAGCGTCGAGATGATGCTCCTAGTTTTACAAATGTGCTAGTACGTATATGGTTACGACTTCTAATCAGGCAGCCGCATATTTTATTGTATAATAAAAACCTTTATGGTATAAAAAATGATTTAAAAATATTTCTTTTAAAATATCTTTTTTTTAATTTTCTTGTATACATGACACAATTTTTTTTCTTAAAATAATAAACTTAATAATAATATATGAAGAACATTAGATAGACGTATGTCTATAAACATGGTTATTAAAAACGGTATTATAATTTTGAAATATACTTTACAACTCTACATTAAAACTTTTTAATACTCTAAAGAGCCTCTTGAATACTTGAGCAGTTGCTGTTCAAGTGTCATTAAAAATGAACATTCGGGTAAATATACAGTTTTAAGCCACTATTAGAATCAATATTCAAATAAACTTTCTTTATTTGTGACTATCTAAAAGATTATTATTATTATTTTATAAAAAAATGTTGCTTTTTATCGAAATTTCTCTTAAGTGTGCCTTTGCCAGCCTTACTAACCTAGATCCAATTTCCCTCGAAATCCATTTCCCTTATTAAGGTTAAAAGCTCTTTGAAATTCATAGCGTTCTAAGCAAACATCAAATTATTAATAGCACCCAAGGCTCATTGCCGTGTAGAGTAACTTTCTCAAGATAAGGCACACGCCCTACTCAGATCATATCTATTCCACTTTTTCGTGCTGAAAACTTAATTTTACATGTAGACCAAACAATAGAATTTCCTGATCTGTAAGATAATAGAGAAGGCTGAAGCTTCACATTACTTATTATTTTACTTCTATTCTATTTTACATATAAAATATACACTGATAGTTTACAGATCTGTTTTTTAATCGCACTAATAAGTAATAAGTATTATATGTGGGAAAGCTTAGCGTATCCTGACAATACGCTTTATGGACAAACCTATCATGTGAGCGAAGCCGCTGGCAAAAAGTAGTAAAGATATAACGATAAATATAATAACTTAACATTACTACATTTTTAAAGTGGCGATATTCTATTTAAGGAAAAAAACAAGCAAAAAATACAATACTAAAAAACAAGCGTTGTTTTTAGAACAGCTACATTTAAAACCTCATTACATCACGAACATGATCTGTCAAAATAACGTATTTTGATGGAAAAGATTTCGTGTTATAAAATATTCTTCTGTATTAAATATAGTTCATATGCTTATTATTATAAATTCTATAACCTGAATGTTTTTTTACCATTCATTTTATTTCAAAATAATTATTGTGCTAATCTTTAGCGAAGAAACCACATATGTAGTAGGAAATTCTAAAGATTGGAGAACAATTGAGAATTTGGCAGAAAGTCATCCATATGTCGTAGCGATTCTGAACTTAGCAAAGGATTGTGTGTGCTCAGGAACAGTAATAGGAGAAAAAACAGTCCTGACTTCAGGAGGATGTATCAAACCTAAACCTCATTATATAGCAGTTGGAACAGCTGTGTTTAACAATAAGCTGAATAAAAGCATAATCCCAATCACATATACAAAGACACATGGAGACTACATATTCGATGTCCAGGAGATAGAACTGAAAGTAAATCGTATGAACAATAATATTGGCTTAATATTTGTCTTGCGTCCTATCCTAAATTTGTTTCTGGAAAGTGCGGTAATAGGTAATTATTATGCATCTCAATTTAACGAAAAGAAATTGATAATGGTCGGTTTTGGGTATATTAGAACTTCTAATACAGTTGTATTGCAACACCAAGCTTATCAACAAATAGGTTGTATGAATCCGACCTGGTTTTACTGTATATGTGGCATTGAATATTCTCCTGTTTCATATGAAGAATTCTTTGGTAAAGGAGCTCCAGTATTGCTGGATGATGCAGTTGTAGCTATTGCTGCTACTCCTTCAGGATCACTAACTCTAAAGAAGAACATAAGTTATAATATTTTTACAGCTATTGCTCCTTATTTGAGATGGATTGAAAAGTCTAAATCTGACACCGTTGTGGAACTTAAGACGCGTTCTAGCAATTGTGCATCATATACTACTAGTAATATTATACACCACATTTATTTTATTGTACTTTTCATTAATTACATTAGCGATGCCTTTTTTAAATAGGTGAATTGTTTTATTTGTACAATGATATTTTAAAAAATGCAATAATTCAAAAAATATAATACCTACCTACATAATACACGGTTATACGTCATCTATACATACATATAATAAAATTGTAACTAAGCCGAATCTGTACATTCAATGTTTTTTGGAAAATATTATTGAAATAAACATTATTATCGATACAGAGGCCGAATCTACAGTTTTTAGAATTTTTGTCTGTCTGTCTGTTACCGCATCACAGAAAATCTACTGGACGGATTTTAATGAAATTTGGTATGGTGATAGCTGGTTATCCGGGTCTACATATAGAATACTATTTACCGCGGGAAAATATCTCATTTCTGAGAAAAAATACAAAAACTGCAATGTAAGAGTATACTAATATGTAAAACCTAAGAATTTGGTTTTTGGTCATCTGAACGCGAGTGGAGCCGCGGGCAATGCTAGTACATAAATATATCCCATATATTCAATAAAATTAATGTTATTGTATAATAAATTTCTATAATGATCATTTCATCTTGGCCAATGGCTTCAAGATTTAATCTTTAAAAAGTTATCACCATCTGTGAGTTAGTATTTATGCCAATTGCCCACCTTAATTACCATACATTGGCATATTTATGAATTTATAGATATCATAAAGCAATAGAAGGATTCGTCTGTACATACATCAAATATGGTTTTGAGTGGTTTAAATAAAATTAATTGCAATTGGTAGAGACCACAGTAACTGTTTTCAAACTTTACACAAAATATCCCTGTCTTTTTTGTGCATCACCTAGGAGTCAGTTAGTTCTTATTCACATTTTGCAAAAGAAATACCATGGATAACTGCTAATATTTTTATCAACTTAAACGTGTATAACGCGAATGACTGAAAATAAAAAAAATACCGACGTCATTAAATGAATGATAGTTAACCTAAAGATTAATTTATATGGTCCTTTTTATATAACGAGGTAATCGGACTACTATTATAGATGTGTGTTCATATGTATGGTTCGTACGTTTGGTACTCCTTCATATACTCCTTCATATTCAAATTTGAATTTAGTACACAAATAGATTTTAACCTGACATAGGCTTCGTTAGGCACCTACCTAAGGACGCACCCTGCATTCTTAAGTCTCGTCCTATATAAATGTGGTGATAATCTGATGATGACATCCAAATATAGACGACGGGACTCCTTAACGTATTCATAATAGTTGTATTTATCTTTTTTTTTATATAAATACTTTATTGCACACACAAGGATAATATAGAAAATAAAAAAAAGAAAGATAATAAAAGGCGTGCAAGGGCGGTTTTATTGCCATGGGCAAACTCTTACAGACAACTTCTGGTGAAAGGATTAATGAAACCGTAAACAAGACGGTACAATTAATATTACATATATACATGCTCAAATATAATATAAATAAATATATAAGACAAAAGTACATACAAAAATACATATTTCCTTATTACGTACGTATAAATATTATTATATACACTAACTAAAGAGAGAGATAATAATTAGCTATAATAATAGATTTTTATTATATATAATAATAGATTTTTATTAGCAAACATTGCGAGGGAGCATGTTCCATAGCTTTACAGGTATAACAGTGAAAGAGTTGCCATAGTAATTTGATCTGCAAGGTGGTAATTTCAGGCGGTTGTCGCTCTGAGACCTGAGTTAAATACCAGAGTCCGATCCTAGGAAATTAGGATAATAATGTTCGTTTCAATAGGATTTTCCAAAAAATATTTAATGTACAGATTCGGCTTGGTTACAATTTATTACGAGTATATGTATAGATTAACTTAAAAATCGTCTATATGCACAAAAATATTAAATAACTAATTAACACTACAAAGTTTTCTTTGTACACGATGTGTTTTGAAATTGGGCTGCCATATGTGTACATAAAAAGCACACTCAGGAAGGCAAGAAAAACTTCGTATTGAAATAATTAATCTCCTAAACTCTGGTGCAAACAAAACTCTGGTGTTTATAATCTTCAAAGTTCAAAATATTACATGTATAAAGAAAAAATATATTATTATTTTTTACTTGGCAGTGCTTTACTTTTATCAAGTAGGTACCTAAATATTTAAAGCTTGAGTTACGTGTACATGTTTTATTTTGTAGTCGAATATTCCTAATTATTCATTTATATATATATATATATATATATATATATATATATATATATATATATATATATTAATTTGTTTATTTTAACAACTTCTGTACTACATACGTATTTTATTTTATGGCAAGTTTCGCTTGTAGTTCTGCTAGCGTTAACAACGATAAAAATTACCACCCTCTCTCTGTAACCACTATTGAAATTTCCATATAATTTAGCATTTCTTCTTTCATGTATATTAAACTAATTGTAAAACATAATATTTTTAACTAGCGACTTATTCTTTCTTCACTAGGGTGCACTTTGTAATTTCTATTTAAAGATAATGATGATAATGAGGTTTTGGTAAGTAATACTGGCTTTTGTAGCCGCTGAGTCCCAAATAACCACCTAGGCAGGTGGTATGTGTAAATGCATTTCCCATCATAAAAAAGTTCTCTATCAATGTACTTTCATCCAAAACCCCTTCCAGGAGTTTCCAGGAGACAAACATACATACAAATACACACACACACCCACACAAATACACAAACAAACACTCATTCGCCTATTTAGTTGTACGATTTATAATCATACATTTAAAAAACTTTTCTTAATTTCCTTTTAATTTAAAATTCTATTATTAAATCGAAAATAGAAGATGCGAAACTGCAGGCAAAGCTAATCTTTAATTAAACGATTTAAGCCTACATTAACAATTGATATAACAGCATTTACTATCAGTTTTGAATCTACGTATTTTTATTTGGGGGTAAGATTAACTTATGATATACATAAATATTTGAAATCGTTGCACATGTTACAATTATATAAAAAAAGATATTGAGTTATATTATATATATTTACCTCAGACTAAAATGAGACTAAAAATGAATGTCAAAGTCAAAAATAATAGCTTGATTTTATGTTGAACCTACTGGTTTCATACAAATCGTTTACTTTCTTTATGTAATAATGGAAATTTTATATATGTATTAGAACAGATCATATAATACTATACTGTATTAGTTAAATTAGTATACAATTTTTGAGAATAAAATATGAATGATAAATTTATATTTTTTTTGTATTTTTCAAGCATTAGTTCTCTTCCCCTTGAAAGAGAGATGGCATAATATCAGTTTATTTCGTTCGTGTATTAAAATCCCTTAGCTATTTTTATTTATTTACTTATCCCTCAAAATTCTAATTGTTATTTGTATACTATTTTAAAACATTATTGTTGGATTTCATCTTTAGTTCTATATAGACTAAGATATATACCTATGTTAATTTTAGAATTTTAGATGATATTTTTTTAAACCTATTATTGTTGCCACGGAATAAGGTTATACTTACTTAAAGATTTTGAAAACCTTTAAAAGAATGTAAACTACTAAAAAAACAAAGTATTGTTATAGGATATGTATATTTTATACAAATACTATAATTAGTTATAAAATTCAAATAGCAATGTGATTAGATATAATAACTACATATTATAAGTTAAGGTATCTAATATATGTATATAAATTATATGGTTGAACTTAAACACATCGAAGATGTTATAATGTAAAATCTGTAATTTTTCTTAATATTAACCTTTGACTTGAGACTTTAAGATAACGCAAACTATTAGGTCCCGAGACATTTATCTAAAATAACAGTATCAGTATTGTAACTGTGAACGAAGATTGATATTTACTATTTAATACTAAGTAATAATGAATTCTATTAGGGTTTTTGTAAGAACTATGAGTCAGAAGTGGATACCTTTGAAAAAAGTGGGGATTATTGGTGTGCCATTTGAAAAAGGACAGAAGAAATATGGAGTCAGCGTCGCTCCAGCAGCTTTGAGGTCAGCTGGTCTCATGGAACATCTCAAAGAAATAGGTAAAGTAACTATCATTATATAATTTGGATGAATAATCTGATGAATTGTCCCTATATTTGTATTAATAGAAGTATTTATTACTGATATTATGTAGACACAAACCTATGAGATATCTGTGTTTATCGTCACTTGAGTAATATTATATTAGTATTATATTAGAATCGAAGTATCAAACCACAACATACGATTCAAAAATTAAATTAATTGGCGGAGCGAGTGAAGCCTCTCTGCTTCAAGTCTGGCAAAATTTGCTTTCCTCTGTCAGTTTGTTGGTACTCCTCTACATGTGGTATTTTACAACCAATCTGGACGAAACTTGGTATACAGTTTTTACGACTTTATAGATTTTTTCGTCGTTGAGGATTTTTGATTGGACGAGTGCTTCCTACAAAAAGAGACAAAAAGTGGGCTACTAGATATCTCCGCCTCATAAAACTCGATTTCGATGGTTCTTTTTTTATTTGAAAAGTAGTGTTTAAGTAGATCTCAAAAAAAATATATATAAATATTATTCTCAATAGACTTCATATCCAATATGTTTTAGATGGCATAGATGTAAAAGACTACGGTGACATCGAGATCCCCGCAAGCAACCAGCAAGTTAACGTAGATAACATGGAACATCTTTCCCTAGTGTCTGCTTGTAACAAGAATGTTTCTGAAAAAGTGTCAGAAGTGCTGAAAGACGGGCGAGTAGCAGTTACCATTGGTGGTGACCACTCAATAGGGCTTGGTGAGATATGAATGTTATAGGTACATTTATTTAATAAAAATAAAATGCTGTTCGTTGGTAAGCGCATCACTTAAGAATGACTGGGCGATTTGGTTTGACTTGTTTTTTAAAACGTTCGTAGTAGTCCGTATAAGGTTAGAGTCTTAGGAAAAAATTTTGAAAGTGCGGAATATTAAGAATATCTGACAGTGACTTTTTCTATAAGATTTTTATATGAACTCAAAGACCACAAAGTTTATTGATAGACTGGACAAAGTCTCTTAGATCAGCTACATATGTATATGATATACCTAATATTTATTCCATATTAACAGTACTAAGAATTAAGATCATAAATGTTACATTTTATAAATATTTAATAACTTTGTTCGTTTAATGTCAATTTTTTTAAAATAATGTTTTATATTAATTAGTGCATAACGATTTACTTCTCCTATCTAAATCTTATCCTACCTAATATATCATCATTTTTAATGTTGGAAATGCATCACCTGGCCAAGTGTCATTCATAATTCTAATTTACATAGTTTGCCAGATTTCGTGTTTTTAGCACATAATAATAATATATTATTACATTTAGGGACTGTCGACGGTCACTACAAAGTCGACGAAGACATGATTCTCCTTTGGGTAGACGCACACGCAGATATCAACACAAATAAAACGTCAGGCTCTGGCTCAGTCCACGGCATGCCCGTAGCGCTCCTCGTCAAAGAACTGTCGGATTACTGGCCATATCTACCCACTATGGACTGGCAGGTGCCAAAGTAAATTTAATTTTTTCCTATCTTTTCACCGTTAAAACAATTTTAAAGTGAAACAAAATTTGAATAAAATCCTTTCTCATCAGTTTTTTTTTTTGTGTTTCTTGTCATGTCATTACGATAATTAACGTGATTTTTAGCTATTTGGTTAATCTACTATTTTAATATAAAGCTGTTTTGTTCGTTTTAAAAACAAAAAGCTTTTGTTATTTTTTTTATTAACAAAGGTTCTATTGACAAGAAATATGGTGTTTGAATAAATATGCAATTATAACAGGTTAAAGGAAGATATACCTAACTATCGCTTATGTATTACCAAAACCTTAAAATCAAGTCATCATAATTCACATTACTTTTAATGTATATCATGAAATACTCAGCCTTTTATATTTTTTAGTAAATAAAATAATAATAAATAATGATATCCACAGGTTTTCTATAAGAAATTTAGGCTATGTTGGCTTGCGATCTGTAGATAAATACGAAAGGCTGGCAATAGAAAAATACGACGTGCCAGCATTCACAATGGCTGATATCGACGAGTAAGTTAAATATTTATATCACTAAGCGGTACCTCACCTACTAGGCTGAAAGTAAATGTTTCTAAGTGCTTGCACACTTTATCTTGAAATCTAAGAGATTACAACGTAGTTTATACACTATAAAATACAATAGAGACTGTTTTATGTTTGTTTTTATTACTTATGTAAGAAAGAGTGATCAGAATATTTCAAACTACTTTATTGACAGGGCAATACAAGTAGTTCTGCGAACAGTAGACCTCGCGAGCAAAATCTTTTTTGCAACAATTAATATACCTATCACTAAAGTTATGTGAGCAATGTACTGCATTTTGAAGAGCTATTCTGTTCATCACGCAGAAGATTCTCATTCATCTCAAATTTTTATGAGGCTAACTTAAAGGTACAACCTTTCAAATAAAAATATAATCATCGAAATCGGATCGTATAAGGCGAAGATAGTCCCCTTTTCGCCCCTTTTTAGAGGGAGGGGTACGTCTAATCAAAAATCCTCAACGACAAGAAGACTGTTACTTCAAAACTTCGTCATTTATAAACCGATTTGGAAAATTCTTTTTTGTTTGAAAGTGTATACTTCCAGTTTGGTCACATTTAAATTTGGTGAAAAGATACGACCCCTAATGGTGGAAAAATAGCTAATGAAAATTTAACCTACTTCTAATTAATATATTGACTTGAAACTTTGCTAGTATTTGTATTTTCGTCGATAGTGCAGTGATTCGGTATTGTCGAGCAGATCTGATGGTAATGACAGAAGGTGGATAATGAAACTCTGCAATGGTTAATGTGAAATCTGTACATGACATATTTGTTTAAAAACAATAAGTAACATACTATGTACAGAATATAGACCCCAAAATAATAGTTATTAAAATGTTTGTCTATTTGTCTCTGTATGTGGGTATGTCTGTTTGTTTGCGCGTTTCACCCAAAAAGTATTGGAGCGATTATGTATTTTGTGTTGTGATAACTTATTATTCGAGTTAATATTTAGGATACCTTTTACTAGAGGAAAATCTTTCATTTCCACGGGAAAACACTATAACTGGTTCGAGTCTTCTTTAGAAATTTACATGGCTAACACTGGCTTAGCATGTTATGTTCAACAAGGTTTAACTTAAAAACGCCTGGCATGATCGAAGCATGAGTCTATCTCCTAAAGTATCTACACTCACAATAACTATTTATATATAAAGCGTCCCTAAGGACGCACCCGAACGAAGTGAGGGTAAGTCGATAGTATGTTTTGTATAAAGTTGAATAATCAGCCCTAAATCATACAATGCAGTTGATATCAGAAAAGTAATTAATTAAATATACTCTATAATTTCAGTTTCGGAATCCAAAAATCTATAAACCACATATTCCAAAAAATAGACCCAGAAGGCAAAAAACCTATTCACGTGAGCTTCGACATTGATTCCATAGACGCGATGGTAGCACCCAGCACTGGCACGCCAGGTAAATATTGTATCAAGATTAAGTGTATTAAACTGATATAGGTCCATAGTTTGTCTCGAAGTTAACTGATTTGGTCACGTACATAGAAATGGTTTTTTTAAATAATATAAAATTGTTTTGATGTTTCTTAAATTTTATAATGAATTGTCTAGATTAATTAATATTTATTAATTAAGATTATTTAAATTAAAAAAATAAAATAAAAACTTAACAATACTTTCTGTTGTACCAAGTTATTAAATAATATTTGGACAGTAACAATATCAAACATTCACTTAACAAGAAGTCAAATCTCACTCGAAAAATCATTTTGCGGACCGATAGCGCCTTTCTACTCGTAGTGTTAAAGACCATAACAATTTGTAATCGCTGTTACAATATTGTGCATTTTTTTCTACTGCTTTTAATATTCTAAGCTATTATAAAGTTTTGAAAAAAAATGCTCAACTAGCTTTTTCTACTAATTTGTTTTGAAAACTGCCTTAGTTATTTATCGGGCTTGAACGAATTTCTGTGTCCAAAATTTTGTTACCGAGTAGATAGATATTAGGTATACCATACCATTTATAAAATTATTTTAGTAAACAAAAAAAAATATTTTTTATAACATCTAAAATCCAATTACTGAACAAAGTTTGTATATTTCAGTTCCCGGGGGCCTAACACTCCGAGAAGCTATCAAGTTGATGGAGATAATCCACGAAACCGGCCGACTGCGAGCCATTGATCTCGTGGAAATTAATCCGGCTCTAGGTAATGACTCCGACAGAAAGAGGACTATTGAAGCAGGGCTATGTGTGCTGAAAGCTGCCTTGGGTTTCTCTAGGCGAGGCACTGTGCCACGCGGCGTGCTCGACCTCCCTGTACAGACACCCCCGAAATAATAATAGTTTTACAAAACTACTATTACGATAAATCTGAGGTATTAAATAAAATATTTATGAAGAACAATATAAAGCAACAACCAATAAATTAATTTTCTAATTACTCTACCTATCCTGTCATATTCCTTCGTCAGTTAACTTGATTTAAGAATTTCATTCTTACTCGCTAAAGTAAAAAGACGTAGGTATTTATGTCAATAGAGATAGAACATCAGAGCGAAGCGAGCGTCAATTGTTAGTTCTTTTGCTAACACTAAAATTTGCAAGCATTCGTGCTCATCACACAAATGAATGCCCCCAGCGACCCCGCGACTGCTGGCACATCAAGTAGGATCACTACAAACTGAGCCAAAGTGTCGTCAAATTTATTAATATGAAATGTCGGCATTAGTTCCCATGTTAAGTAAGGCTCTCCTCTTAGTAGTGTCAAAAAGTCTGAAAATAAACGAACATTCTCGTAATATATAAAACCCTTTTTTTAACGTTGGGAAATGCCTGCATACACACACAGGTGGCTTTGTAAGACTCACCGGCTAGAAAAACCAGTACTACCCACTAAAACCCAACAGAACATCCCCCCGTCTTAATGGGGCGTTGCAGGATCGAATATATGAAACCCTTCCTTAAAAACATACTTCACCATTTTTTGGCTTATTAATATTAGGTACCTAAATACTAATTACACTATATTTGTGTACCATCGTCATGCACTTATCTTCAATTGGGAAATCTATTCCCATAGATACTTTGTATGTTTATTGTTTGTGTTCACTATATACAATATTTGTTCAGCTTTGGATGAAGACAAAGCGTGACCTTCTGTACTGACGGAATAAATAAAGCTGAGTAAGGACTTTATGTTTATCTGAAATCAATCTTAATTCATACTTTGCTCAAAGAGACTTAGATATACCGCTTTTCGTTCGCCAATTTAATAAAATGACTTTGTGTTGAATGTGTGCGTGTATAAACGCACCTCACAAAACATAGCCCTTGAATAAATTTGAAAGTTTGTTATTATGGATGTTTATTAATCTTTCACACCAGAACGGCTGAAGAGATCTGGATAAAATTTGGCACAGATATAAATTATAGTCTGGAATAACACATAGGCTACTTTTTATCCCCGAAAAATGTACTGTTCCCCTGGGATAGGTTTGCTTTTGTTTTCCTAGAGACGGACCCGAGCGAAGCGAGGGTTAACCGCTAGTATATTATACTTTCTACTTTTAACTTTATATTGACGTAACTATGGAAGTAAACATTACTCATGAACGTAACATAATAAGCATGACGACTATTTCTATCAATTTTAATTAAAATTTGATATGCTCGCTAAAGTACATAGGTACCTACTTGCTTAGAACAAGATTAATGACAAATAGTAAAAATGTTTAACTTAAAAAAAATATCGCCGTTTAATATATTCTTCGTAAGTACCTACTTGAATATGTTTAGGACATAAGTAAATATTAATATACTTTTCTAAAAAAAAATGATCCCTTTGGACCAATTTCAATAAAACACGCTAAGTGCGTGTCGGGCCACGCGCAATGTAGAGTTCCGTAGTTGCCCATCACAATAATGCGGACTAAGAAGAGGGCTTTTATTTCATACTACGAGTATGAACGTTTAACAATTCATGATTTCGGCAGCATATAGTAATAAGTTTTTTTATAAGTTGGTCAACTATTACTCCTAAACTCGTTAAGCCTACTTAGCTGTGATAGTTTTCCTTTTAACTTCATTATATACCTACATATATTACTAGCGTAAATTTTTTCACATTTCCAAAAACAATCATTTAGCTGGCGGGGGGGGGGGGCGGGGGAAGGGGGGGAGGACACGTGACTTTAACAAAAACCAAAAATTAGTACTTTAAAGCTTAATATTTTACAAACGGATCCCTTAATAGAAAAATTGTTCAAACCCGTAATATTTTTGAAAGACCTATCCAACGACACCCCACACCATGGAGTAGACGAGAAAAAATAAGATCCCGACTTCACATGTAGAGGATGTACGCTAAAAAATTTTTCCAAAAATTTATCTTTCGAAAAAAACCACTTTGTCAGTGTGATTAATATGTATATCCATGCCACATTTCAGCTTTCTAGTACTAGGTCTCTGGGCTAAGCTACGAACAGACGGACATAAGACATGGCGAAACTATAAGGATTCCTTGTTGACTACGGAACCCTATGAAAGGAGATTTTCAATTTCTCTATAATTACATTTTTATCCATTATGCATTATTTTTATACCTTTTTCGATTAATTTTACCATCATTATATTATTTTAATATAATAATTCTTTTAATAAAAAAAAATATAATTAACTTTTAGATTTTACCTTGCATTATATCTTCACTTACAACAAAAATAGAAACAGATGACGCCATTGTAAAAAGAGTTATGGAAGAATATTTCAAAACTGTACCAGACATAGATAATAAATATATAATCAATGAAGGACTTTCAAAAACTATAACTAAATATTTTAACGGCAAAATAAATGCCTTCCCTCTTTTTAAAATCAGTGTAAACATCGATAAGACACCCATCAAAATACCTTGGACTATAGATTCAGTACAATTGGAGCCCCAAACTGAAAAACCTATGAGGAAAAGATATCGATATGTGAAAGCTGGGAAACGAGTAATTGGAGATTGATAAAAGATTGTAATCTGTTTTGAAAATATTTTATTTGTTTCTATCTCAGCAACAATAATATTACCTAACAAAATTAAACCGAAAATAGAAAATTAAAAATAATAATAATGCATTTTAATTTAATGCAATTTTTTTTAATTACAGCACATTTTAATTGATTTCTGTAAAATCTCTAAAAGCCATTTATTTGGCTTTATAAAAATGCGATTTTGTAAAATGTATCTATGCCTTTGTATCTTTAATAATAACTCTAGTAAAATTCAATAAATGTAGTAATTTTACTCTTTTTCGAGAGTTTCTTTCTTCGCACTATTCCTCACGTGGGGTAGATATTTGTTTTTATTATTTTCTAATTGTAATAACAACACTATAGTTCATTCGCGTTAAAAAAATAGTGAGTCATCGTTGTCCATCGGCCTAGCCGTATATAAGTGTATAATCTATGGGCCTAGCCACGACCAATTAGGTTGCATGAAATTATAAACTCAAGTTCACAATGACCAGTTGAAGACAAACTTTCATAGGAAACAGTTGTGTCCTTTGTGCGTTACCTACTATATTATAAATGAATACCTCACCTATTCGTAAGGATAAAAGTGGATCGATAATTCATAGCGAAGAAAGAGTTTTTAAGTACTTTAAACTGTGCGATTTAAATGATTTTAATTGTTTTATAATAAATACAAAACGAATATTCTAGTGATACTGATTAATTATATCATTAATGACTATTTTGATTTGACATAATCAAATTGAATTTATCCATTAAACTTAATCTCTTGAAGTATAATTGAATTGAATTTTTACTTCACTATGAATACACCTTTACCATGCAGTTGCACTTATGACTCGCTATTTTCTTAACGCGAATGGACTATAGTCGTTATGACAAAAACCCATAATATCAAATCGCTTGATTATAACCCGTTATTATCAATATAAATGTTCGATTAGAGAAATCGATTAAGCAATTTTTTACACGACATATCATGATAGCAAAGTCGATCGTTTGCAGAAAAAAGTTAATTACTAAGATTTAATTTTTATACCCGCTGCCACAAAAGATGGCGCGGGAGTCGTGTCAGATAACTTTATACTATTTTGCTTATTAGGAATTTAATTCATAAAATGCATGTATTGCATATTTAAAAATATGTTCAGGGTTACATTTTTTAGGAGTTTTAATTACGATATAATAATATGACAGCAAGTCTTTATATGCTAATATAATTACGTATACAGCACGAAAGAAAACGCGTCATCTACCGAATATACTTTATACAAGATTGCTTATATGTTTCTGCTAATATAGTGTACTGGATAAATAGAAGTACTTTCTTTAATTGGTGGAAATAATTATAAAGGAGCAGATAAAAAATAGCACACTTTTGTCTATACACAATTATTGTAATAAAAAAATCGAAACTAAAATATAAAGTAATATTGCCAGCTGTGTTAAACAAATGGTGTAGCACTATAGGCATTTTCTTCATAATATTTTACGCACTAATTTGAATATACAAGGCAACAATGACTTAAAAGTTAACTTGTGGCCGATAATGCTTTTGGAACTTATTGTTTTTGAGAGACATCTTCATTTGCCATTTTGCTTGAACGCGCTTCATAAAGTGAATGTCCCGAGCTTTCCTGAAAATCATATACAAATTAAATAAATAAATGGCGTAAGTATTTTATTTGATTTCTCCTTTTTACACACAACAATGGCCTGTTTTTATTCCTATATATTTTTTACTACTATTAATAAGTACCTGAAAGAGACAAAGCCTATATTTTGTTCTTAATTACAAAAAAGTAGAGAGTGATTGAGTGCAGATAAAGCCTGATATGGTTTTATAATTAGCTGTTTTATAATATTAATCCTGCAAATGTGCCCACAGCATAAAATGCAATCAGAATGTCGAATACCGATTTCAATTATTAAAAAAAATGAAACACCATCAGAAAAATATAACAAAATTAAAACTGCATTGTCAATCTTTTTGAATTCAAAAAGACAATCTATGTTTTTAATTGTTTTTAAAAACTATGCGCGTCGCAAATGTTTTTTTTCTCTGTAATTTGTTTAACCGTTGATACCATATGTAAAAAAATTCTTAGAGAAAATGAGATATATATAATTCTGTTTCTATCACAAACTAACGTGCGCAATAATAATCTGTATAGATTAAAATACCAAAACAAGTCATACGATATGTGTGAATCTTTCTTTAATAAAATACAATCTCATTATTTTATAACATATAACATTTTTATGTGTACTACAAAATTATCTGCTAGTTATATTTAATATTTATAAATGTGCACTGTCATGGTTTTGTAGATAGTTAGATAGACGATTCTTTATCATTACTGAGATCTTTGACCTTGTAAAAATATTGTACAAACATTATACTGATTGGAATGATTTTTGAAGTAAAACTTCTTTAGGCGTGACTGAGGGTTAAGTCAATACATTGAAATAAATTAAAAATTTAAAAAACCCCCTACGCAAATTGATTGTCATTTAAAGATTACACTGGCACGCGTGAAGCACTTAATCGAGTAATCATACGTCAAAATGCCTTACATCATTTTGGAAAAGACCTGATACTCTTACACTGCTGGACCGATATTAACCAAACGTAGCTAACAACCACCGCAAGGAAACTGGCTTTAAAATAAAAAAACATACAATGCCACAGACACATCAAACTTATAACACCATTCTTTTTGCGTCGGGAGTTAAAAATGAATGTCGCGGAAGTGAGTGTCAAATTTAGTAATACTTTAAAAAATATATTATATTTATATTTTTATAATAATTATTATTCATAAAAATATATATTTATTATTAATAATTTTATAATAAAATTATTACTTATAAATATGAATATTTATTACTAATAATTTTATAAAAATTATTATATTTCTATTTTGATTTTCTTTTTTATGTTTATTTATTTATATCGCCGGTATATCTCGGAAACGGGTCTAACAAAAACTCCGAGCGAAGCACAGTCGCCAAGGTACTTTTAATTTCACTGTGGTATCTGCCACAGAACCAAAGAAGTTTTACTTAAACTATATTTTTTTTTTATAAAGTTAGTCTTTGAACTGGAAATAATCATGTGCAAATATATTATATAGTTTATTGCAAAAAGCACTAGGTAGGTAAAGGTTTGTTATAGGACTATTATTGACAATAATGAAACCAGCAACTTACTTGGCTGCCAAAGCTTGTTCCTTAGGCGCCCATCCTAACGCTCTGTAAACTCCTAACAATCGGTGCAATTTCCTGTCTGACTTCTTGACAAGTGCCTGACTGTTCTGTGTTACATTTTGTTTGTAATACCTGAAAATAAGTAGTTTTAAAAACTAAAAGATTTTCATTCATTTCATTTTCATTTTTCAATGATCTTACTTTTTCTTCAAAACAAAATAAGCACAAGTTTAAATAAAGGCTTCTAGTATAGTTGGAATATTTTTTTTAAATCTAGTAATCAATTTCTCAAATGATACCTCATTAGAGATCTATGGCCAACAGTAACCCCAGATGGAAGCACCAACTGGAAGTCTTCACCTCCTAATGTTGTGGGACCTTCTACTTCTTCATCCATATCCATATTATCTTCTCCTTCATTATGGTCAGGATATGATGCACTAAAAAAGGTTGAAAATATTGTATTATAATCATGTAATTCATATAAAAGTATTGTGTGCTCACACAGCACAATTATTTTAACTAATAATTTTAAGTAATAAATAAAATCATGCTAATGCATAATTAAATAAAAAAATAAGAGTTATCTATAAATTTTTGACAATTTAATAAATTTATCAAAAACCATGATTCATTTTCAAAGAAATATAACAAATTTAATGGATAGTACCTCGGCCAAAAAACAATTAAAAACTTGAATAAATACCAAAAAAAAACAAAAAAATTTATACCTTTGTATCCGACCGGGATTCGAACCCGAACACCTATGATTGTCAATCTTGCGCCTTGGCCGTTTGACCATGACACTTTTGCCCGAGCGTGCCAAATTATCGACCATATTTTGCGTGGAGTAATGCGAAAGAAAACCGCATGAAAATTCGACAACACGCATTTTCGCAGATATAAGACTAATCTAGATTGATTTATCGCCCCCGAAACCCTCTACATGCTATATTTCATGAAAATCGTTGGAGCCGTTTCCGAGATTCAGATTATATATATATATATATATATATATATATATATATATATACAGTGTGTTAAAAAAACCCTGTCCGATCGGAAACCAGTGTATAGGTATCCCAATCACATGACCAAATAAAATAAGAAATATAAAATATTCATGATAGTAAACATATTAATGAAATTTAAAAAGTCCATTTATTTTGCTAATTTCCCCACAATTCTAGGAAATTTTATAAATGTACAACACTAATTTCGGCGGTATTATGTTAATCATGTGGCGGCGGCATCTTTGATGTGTGCCACTGCCGACAGACGATGGGCCGCCCGTTGTCAAAGGTACCGCTCGGCACGTGTAGAGGCTATCCCGACCTTGAATTACATACTTACGATCACTATTTGTTTGCTTTATTATTTATTTCACTTAAAATTATGTCAGTTTCGCGAAACATTGCATCCGAGTGCACGTGTTGGAGAAATTGAGTTTTAACTATGTCGTATACGAATGAAGAGTACTGTAATATGATAATGTGTTTGGGGAGGAGTGACTGCAATTATGCAGAGGCTCATAGAGACTATGAAGTGCGTTTCGCAGTTCCGCGGGGTACCACGGTGCCGTCAGAGCGTGCGGTTCAACGTCTTCACAATCGTATGTACACCACGGGCAGTGTTCACGGCTACGAAACGCATCACGCTGATACAAAGACACCGCGTATCGACATGGATATTGAAGAGCAGGTGCTTGTGTTATTTAATGAGGACCCCACCCGAAGTACTCGTTCTGTGGGACGACAATTGGGCACTAACCACGTTCAGGTGTGGGAAGTGTTAAAAGAAGATGGCCAGCATCCTTTCCACTACCGTCGTGTCCAAGCTTTACTACCCAGTGATTATGAACCTAGAGTTGAATATTGTGCATGGATTTTAAGGTAAATTGAAGAGGACGCAGAATTTTTAAAAAGAATTATTTTCACCAATAAATGTTCATTTCATAGAACAGGCGTCTTTAACAGACGGAATGAATATGTGTGGTCGACGCTAAATCCTTACGCCAATAATCCGTGATAACCTTTTGCGACGGTGTCAAGCCTGTATCACTCATGGAGACCGTCACATGGAACAACATCTCCATCACAGCCATCGCATTGGCGTCCTCATCGAATAACAGACTACCTACTTACAAAATACAAATTGATAAGCGTAGTTTGAACTTTGAGGTCAACTGCGTTCATGACCTTATGACGTCACCAGTTTTGCCATGTACGTTTCACAATTTATGAAATATTTTAAATTTTTAAACGGGAAATTTTTTTTTACTTGGAATCTGATTTTTATACATAAATAGAAACGAATCGCGATACCTAATAATATCTTCACGGGTCGGACAGGTTTTTTTTAACACACTGTATATATATATATACACACATATATATATATATATATATATATATATATATATATATATATATATATATATATATATATATATATATATATATATATAAGAAATGCACATTTAAAAATATAAGTTAACATTAACAGTAGCACATTACAACTATGTAAATAAAAGTATTGTTAAATATTATGCAATATTTAAGAGGCCTATCAAAAAATGTGCTGTGTTCTATGACATTGACTTTGAACCGACGTATCGCTGTTTCTAGCATTTTCTGCAGTTGTAATTACTTCTATGTAAGTTTTTATGATCAATTATTTTAAAAAAGGTTTGTAATTACATATATACTGGTATAAATATTACTAAATGTTGTAAGGATATATTTACAGCTAATTCTGAATGTTTTTAAGTTTTTAAAAATTTAAAAAGGTTTTTTTGTAGAAATCCAATACATATTTTCAAATTCAGAGGCCGCTATAAGCTCAACCACTATATACGAGATATTATTATATACTTTACATTTTGTTTGCTTAGTATAGTATTTTAATCCATGAGCTTGAAAAAGTGCCATCGCACATTTTATTAAAAAGTGCTTCTGAAATTTGGCTTTATTTCAATTAATAATGAAAATTTGCAAAAAGGGAAGCCCCTAAGAACTATATTAATAACTATTCTCCACCATACAATAAGTCAAAATTGTCGAAGAGTTTCAGTTTGTCTGAAGAAGAACGTCAAAGATGGGCATTAAATTGAAAAATCTGTCATAATGTTAAGGCCTCTTAACAACAAAAAGATGTTCACTTCTCAAGACTTTCAAGTTATGTTACCTATAGTCATAATAATCAGCATATTCAGCCAGTGCAATGCCTTCATGTAACATCTTACAATGACCTTTGTCAATCATATGGGCCTGAGCTGCTTCCATAGAGTAAAAGGTTCTACCAACTTCATTACACCATAGGCACATAAATCCTTGTGAAATCTATGTAAAAACACATTTACATAATATAAAAAATATGTTACTAATTAATTAAATAAAAGTAATGTTATTTTATGGTTATTTACTGTCACTTGATACCTTTTCTCCTAGATATAATAACAGTCCTCTTACGTCCACACAATATTCTATGTCAGGAATGAAGAACGAATGTGATTCTGACATGTGCTTTAAATTTTTTACCATATTCTTGCTGTGATGGCCACAAAATAAGCAGTCCTTTGGTTTGATTAAGGAGTCGCTACCCTTGATTCGACATTCCTCCCATTCATCAGAATCAAGCTGAAATATAATACCACTTTTGGTTAGGCATACTGCAATACTTACTATAATGGTAGATATATAAATGTAAATAAATTTATAAAGAGTATACTTAACCTCCTCAATTTCTGAATCTGTTTCAATATCTTCATCACAAGAATCTTCGGTATTTACGACAACAAATTTTCCTGGTTGCACTGAAGACTTATTTGCTTCAACTTTTTCAAAACTATTACTGTCTGAACTTTCCTCTTCTTCTTTTTTATCATTCAACGTTTTTTCTTCAGCTAATTTGTGTTTTTTACTATTTAAATGATTGTTATATGTGTTTTTGGAATTAAATAACTTAGAGCAACACTTGCAGTAAATAGATTCATCTTTATCAACATTTTCAGCCTGCTCCCTGTGTAGTTTTGCCCTTTCCTCGAATTCTTCCAATGTTACTGGTGGTATAGATGCGACTTTTCGTTTCAAATTATATCTGTGCCAATCCAACTTGTAATGTTCTCGTTGTAAATCGGCAGTTTTGAAGAGCACTTGGCATGTTATGCACGTGTATGCATTAGACATTATTGAAGAGAAATTTTATCACAGTCTGTTTGTAACGTTTATCACAGTTGTATGAACACGTTTGATGTTTGAAAAAATCTTTTAAATATTCCTTTGCGCGTTAAATACGACAATAAGTAGGGCTAAAATTTCTGAAGTCTGAAATGTCAAGTTGAAGGCTGAACTCTGAAGCGGCAAGTGGCAGCTGGTTACTGACAGCTGACAAGTGACAGTTGTACCATGGCTCTGGCTGCCACTTAACAGTCGGTGATTTACCCGACCAATAAACCTCAAAATACCCGCCCTGTTTTCCAATTAGAGTACTAAAACGCATTATGCAGCATAATACTAACTTCGAATATTTCAACTACAGCAACGCTCCGCTCAATCGAGCATTTTGAAAAGTACTGCTTTGGCGTGATGCGTCAAGGATACCAACTAAATAGCAGAAAATATAAGAAGTGTTTTTTCTGGTGGCATTGATCAAAATTTTATTTAGATTATCGCTTAGAAGTTAGAGTATCCTTTTTTTTAAGTCATTAATTCATGTTTTATAAAGAATAAAAGAAAGTACTGATGTTAGAAAAAGAAGTCATTGTAATAAGTTCTCAATTAAACAGCTTTAAATTATTGAATCAAACATTAAAAAATTTAAATTGTTAAATTAATCAATTTGCGCTAGTACTTGGCTCAGTAGAGTTGGTTCGCATCATTTGACCACTGAGCTGGAATTTCACCGCGATATATCTCCTGCTTTTCGGATACTTCCCGCGCGGCCAATATTGCAACAACAGTATCTGTGTACAATGCGTTTCGATGAGCTGTTTTAATGTTTTTTAAATTACTATTATCATAATGTTGCGAGGTTAACTATTGTTGCGAGGTAAACTGTTTTTACCCCGCTAAATGCCAACCAAAAGTACCTGCTCGCGCCATCAAAAAATCGCTTAAAATTACCCGCTCATATTATGCCCGCTATTGATGACAGATGGCAGACCATTTATCGTAATATTTAAATATAGTATCTATGTATGACCTATATTGTCATGGGGAATATTCCTTGAAAGGAGGGCGCAACACATATGATCAATTTACATTCAGTCTGAGGTTAAATTATTCCGTATTGTTATTGAATTTTTTTATTCATCAAACACTATGTCCCAACAGTTTTATTGATTTGTATAATAAGATTTGATTTGGTATAATTTCGGTGATCCTACGGTATAAAATAAGTTGGCACTACTGGCAGCCCTATTTGTATTTTGACAATAATTATTAATCAATTGTCATTTGTCAACACTCAATATTATTCATGGTTTAATAAATAAAAATAATTATAAATTGTAAATAATAAATATCACTAAATACTTATTACTAAAAGATTATTTTTAGTTAACTATTTTGGAAAAGTTAAAGTTAAAGAATAATTATCGCCAAACGTAAGACATAGGAAAAAAGCGAATGCTAAAACCAGCTATGCCAAAAAGTTGTTATCTTTATTACATGATATTTGCAAAGGAAATTGTGTTCAATTGGATAGCTTAAAACTTATAAGCAAAAAATATTTGTATTGTAAACGAGCTCGATTATTTACGTTTTATGTCTATAAATTAATAAATAAAAAAAGTACCGAGTTACCTATAATATTGATAGTACTTCTAATCACCCTTATGTACCTAATCGTAATAGAAATTGACCTTATTTAAAAATATTATGCTGAATAATTGAACTCATTAAAAATGCTTGAAACTGAAGAAGTAGATATTGATTATTTTACTCCTGCATCCGGGTATGTATTTGCTCTAAACAAAGAATTTTATGAAGACATTTAAGTAATTAAATATTTTATTTTCAGCACATCACTTGCAAAAATATTTAGTAGTAATCATCTAGCAGATGAAACTGAAAAATCTTCTTTAAAATATGTTGCACCACTACCTACTCAAATAGTAACAAAATCAGAAGATTCAAAGCCCACACAGTGCCTATATGCTAGTGCATTATATGCATATGAATGGTAAATATGTCATATGTATTAAATGGATTGACTATAGTGTGTTCTTATAATTTAAAAAATATTGTATTATTTAAAATATTATATTTAAATTAATAACTAATAATAAATTCAAATTAATATATTTAAATAATATATTTAAATTAATAACTGATTGCAGATATGAGGAAGTGTATAATACAAATTTGTGTATATATTTTTTCTAGGTTAAAAGATTCTTATATATCAAAAGAAAGAGTCGGTTTTGCAATAATGAAAATATTAAAAACTGGGATTCATAATATTATACTATATGATTCAAATAAAACTACTTTATCATGTTTAACATTAAACCCCAAAGTGGAGATAATAATAAAAGATAATGTCAGTATATCCTATTATGACAATCAAAGAAAATATTGGAATGTTTACACAAATCCACAAGAGTATAAAAATATCTTTGAAATTTTACAAAGTTTAAATGTCTGCTTGAAGGCTTCTGTAGATGTAGAAAAAGATTTTATTGAAAATGGGGACATGAAAAGTGTTAATATTCAATCAATATCTGCTATAGCTAACTCATGTAAAGAAGATAAAGAAAGTGATACAGACTCATCAGTTAACAGAAAAACAAAAGATTCCATTTTGAAAAGAATGGCCACTATGGGACAGTCCGTCTTACCCCCAAGCAATTTGGCCACTGCACAAACAAGTGACTCATCTGATACAAATGAACCACACAACTTACATAAAACTAGACATAAACCTGCAAGAGCTACAAATAAAAGACACATTGAAAAAAACTTGTTAGAATTTGAAAATGATAGTGAGTCACAAATAAATAAAATTACAACAAAACCTCAAGAATTTGCTGGAAAATCATACAAAAATAATGATCAACAAATAGTACCCATTCACACCATAGACATTCTAAAAAGCACTTTAAATGTGTCTGAAGGAACTGATGTAAATATTTTAATGGCTGAACAGAGAGTCAGTAATAGTGAGTTAAGGGTGAACATGAACAGGCTGACTGATAAAGTGGATATTTTGCTTGATAAAGTGAAAGACATCCAAGACAATAATAGTAATAGAAACAGTGCAAGTAACAGTTCATCACATTTCCACAATGAAATTGTTTACAAGTTGTTGAATGAATATGAGAAGAAAATTAAATATTATGAAGGCATATTAAAAGAACATGACTGTGATAGTTTGAATCAAGTTAAACTTATAAACAATAAAAGTAATGAACAGGAAGTACTAGCACAAGATGGAAGTACATTAAAACTTAAATCATTTGAGGACAAAGACATAGAAATAAATGATCTTAAAAGACAAATAAAAACTCTATCAGATAAGTTAAATGAACAAGTACAAATAAATAGCTCTAATAATAATCTTTTAAAGGAAGTAGATTTCTTAAGGGACAATTTGACTGTAAAAGATAATGAAATAGCCAAATTAAATAATCAACTCGAAAATTTATTATTAATTAATAAAAAGAACAATGATATAACAAATAAAATCAAAAAAATAATGAATGATACATTCCAAACAATATCAGCAAATTTTGATAATGAAGAGAATTACACTGGTGCTGGGATAAAAAGTATAGTAGCTTCAATTATTAAAAAAACAACTATGGAATGTTTAAAAGATATTTAAAACAAATATGAAACAAAATATGTTGAATTTTATAATTTTTAGAACAAGTTTTATATTTTCAAGAATACTGTGAATATTTTACATTTTTATTAGAAAGCATATTATAACAAATACATTTGATGTACATGTATCATTTTCAATAGATAGATTTTTGGAACTATTATCAAAAGCCTTATGTAAATAGATAATTTATATATTGAAGTTATATTTTTATTGTTTTATTCACTTATGTGTCTCCAATATAAAGTAACATTGATCAAGTGTAAATATATATCTGGATTCTGGGTTCTCTGTAGGTGTCGCCTTAATAAATAATTATTATTTTGTAAGTAAAAATATAGCTACTGAATAAAAACAAATAGCTAATTCCAAAAATTAACCAATATGCAATTGAATGATGTTCGTTCGGATTTCAGTTTGTGACATCCCTGGCAGTTTATTTATATGGTCCCTAATCCCTATTGAGCCTCTTCCCTGCCCTCCCCTTAAGCCATTAATGATTAAAGTAGGGATGACTAAATTTGAAAGAATCGTCGGTCGAACAGAAGCTGTTTAATTTTGTTTTTTCTTATTGGCTAGTTCGTATTCGAGTTTTTCTGTGATAAACATGTTATACATAATATGTTTCATAAATAAAAGAATTGAGAAAATGTTCTGTTAACTTTAGTTCGGTATTTATTAACACAGATTGCCTTATGTACATAAATCTGCGTAAATTGAATAACGTTTACATTGCATTGGCATTGGGCAACACTGCGAGTGCGTTAAACTATCAACATTCAACTTAGTGATGTGCCAACTTGAAAAAAATATAACTCGATTTAATTCGAGTTTAAATTCATGTAACTCGATTTGAACTCGAGTTAACTGGATGAAAAATGAAGTGAATGATTTGTTTTGTTTGTACCAATTTAATGACTCTACTTCGCAACAACATTAAAAAATGGTACAGATTCTAAATAAATATTTATATAAAAATTGGGACAATTATAATTATTTATATTTTTTATATTTATTTATTTATATTATTACTAGCAAAACCCGCGCAAATTTCATCCGCTATTTTACCCCCTTACGGGATAAATTTCGAAGAATGCTAAAACATATATTTATTTAATTGTATTGAAGAGCGTTAATACCAAGTTTCAAGTAATTCTGATCATAAATATTTGCTTGTGTTGTATTATAACGTGTTTTCCCGTGGAAATGAGATAATCTTCCGCGGTAAAACGTAGTATATACCACTCTACAGCCCTCCAACTATCTTCACCCAAAAAAATACCCCAGTCCGTTACTCCGTTTCGACATGAAAGAAGGACAAACAAAAAACATACTTTCACATTTATAATATTAGTATGGATATTATAACGCTGTCATTCAGTTGATACGCTATAACGAGAGTACGGACGACAGCGATTAAGTTAAATACTGTGGCATCTTATTCGGTTGTAATAGGAGCGATTTTGCAACATAAATGTATAGTCTGAAGTGCTGACGACTGTACAAAGCATGAACACAACGAACGAATCGCCGCGCTTGCGTAAGGTCAATCGCGTACTCGCTTGATTCTTTCATTTATCACGCAAATCCAATTCGAGTCAGAGAGAATTCAACTCGAGTTAATTGGAGTTACGCCCAACTCGAGTTAATTCGAGTTACGCCCAACTCGAGTTAACTCGAGTTAGTAAATCGACTTGACACATCTTTAATTCAACTATCATCAGTCGAAAACCTCCAACTGCTGATTGTCAAATATCATAAATAGTAATTAAGTAATTAATAATCTTGTCAAAGAAAATACGAATAAATTGGATTGAAAATATTAAGTTAGTATTTTTTAAATCAAACTGATAATATTATTATGTTACTAATCATTACTGTAATAGATTATGTACACTCAACATAAAGAGAAGAACATACACAATTAATTTAAATAATCTTTAATTATTTAAATTATCAATTAAATAATCCCAATATGGAAAATTTATCATCATCCTTGGGAGAATATGAAGATCAGGTATGTATAAATTAAAATTTAAAGTATTTTACACATACTTAACTAATTAAGTCCTCTAAAGGTCATATTGTATATTTCATTTAACAGCTGTCGATGGTTAAAAACGCGCTACAATCAGCAAAGAATGCTAGTGAACGGGAGCCGCTATTGGCTTTAGAAGCAGAACTACAAGAACTTATTAATCTTACTAAAGAAAGTTTAGATGCTCAAAATGTTAAAGAGATACACCCTGAACATAAAACTACCAATGAAAGTAGTCCTACAGAATTGGACGATGAATATGCCTTATTTATGGTAAGTATAACTTCCACAAAATATATTTGAATTTGTTTTTGTGTTGTATATCATAAATTTGGATGTTTTATATTTATAGAAAGAAATGGCGGAAACAGGAGCTTATCAAGAAAATAATGATAACTCTAAAGATGAAACACAACATAGTGAAAATAGTGATATAGAGGTATGATCATATTTTCATTATAATCAGAGTATTGATTTTAATCTTATGCACCGGGAGTGAGGTGTGAGGGGATGATGAGGGATGCACTGCAACCCCTTAGTTATATTAATAAAGACCCTGTTTAGGTATCTGCAAAGAAAATAAACTATTTCTCTCAAATATAAAAAAATATATATTACATTTATAAATAAAAAATTAAAAAGTTAATAATATGAAGATTCACACTCCCCTGGAAATAATTTTGCCACCACCCATGATTTAAAATGTCAAAATGTTATGTTATTTTTAGGATGAATTATCTTCACTCCTTGGGATGAAATGTGCAGTGTACCATACACATACATGGGGTGGGCAACCAAGTTTACATAATGCTATGGTTAGTTCAGTTGTTCCACGGCAAGATGATGATCAATTCAATGATCTCCAGGTAAAGGCAATATGTCAAAAAAATAGTTTGTGTTTTAAATTATAGCATATATTGCTTATTTTATAATTTTTATTGTTTACATTGTTATTAATAATACATAATATTATAGTAGTATATCATACTAAACTTTTTAGGTGAAGGTGTTGTTTACTCATCCAACACATGCAGAAATGTTGCCATGTCCATTTTACCTCAACGGTGATTGCAAATTTAGTGATGAACAATGTAGGTGAGTTTTATATATCTCTCATATTTTTAAAATACTTAATTTTTTTAACTTTATGCATAAAATATTTTTTACATTATTTTAAGATATTCTCATGGTGCTGTGGTACAATTATCTGATTTAAAAGAAGCAATAGAACCTGATTATAATGGAATAAAAGTAGGCAGCAGAATTCTGATGAAAATAAAACCACCAGATGATGAGGTCACAAAATCTATTATTATTAAATTTTTCCTTTATTTATTAACTAAACCTATTATTATTGTTAAATTTTTAAAATGACTGAAAAATAAAGAATTTTAAATAATAGTCATCATTACTGCACTAAATGGTAATTAAAAATATGCTTATTTTATTATTATCTTATTAAAATATAAAACTTTGATTTACAATTTTACTTTATTACTAGTGACTTACCCTCACTTCGCTCGGATACGTGGATTTGTTCACAATTTCATGGGTTTTAATTTTTTGCATGAAATCCTGATTCTTTTTCTAAAATAAAAGTAGCTTAAGTTACTCCTTATAACATCAGCTATCCGCCAGTGAAAGTTGCGTCAAAATCATACCAACCATTTCGGAGATTAGTCATAATGAACAGACAGACAAAAAAAAATGAACCTTATTAGTACCATATATACTTTCATATGCATTTAGTAAAAGTCTGTTATTTTGACATTACAAACACACACGTCAATTTTATTTATCTGTAATCTGTATAGATCATAACATAGTTTTTCAAGTACTATCATTTAAGTATAAGTATTTGATTGCCCTAAATAGTTTTCATGTTTCATTATAGGATATGACCACGGCAAAGAAATCGACAGAGAAGTATCATTTGTGGCACAGAGCTATTGTGAAAGAAGTGGACTTAGAGAAAAAATCATGTGTTGTAAAAGTGGAACATGGAGTGACAGGGGAGAAGAGAAAGTCTGCTGACCATTTTGTATTGTTTGAAGAAATATTCCCTCTTAATAGTTAGTATGTTTATATCTATAATATTCTATATTATCCACATCCATACTTAATATTATAAATGTGAAAGTTTTTGTTTGTTTGTCCTTCTTTCACGTCTAAACAGAGTGACAGATTGGCGTTATTTTTTATGTGGAGATAGTTGGAGGGCTGGAGAGTAACATAAGCTACTTAGACTGTGGCAGATAATCTTATTCCAACAGGAAAACGGAAAATGTTATAATACAACCAAAAAAATATTTATGATTAGAATTACTTGAAACTTGGTATTAATGCTCTTCACTACAATTAAATAAATACGTGTTTTAGCATTTTTCGAAATTCATCCCAAAAGGGGGGTAAAATAGGGGATGAAAATGTGCATGAAACCTACCATTTTTTTTTGTAATTTTAGCCCGAGCGATGCCGCGAGTTTTGCTAGTTGCATTATAAAAAGGAAACATTGTTTGTTTGTACTTGCTAAACTCTGAAAATATTTCAATGATTTAAATGTTATTTTATTAAGAAGTGCCAGAGTTGGTTGTCATGTTGGATCAACTTGCATGAATAATTTCAGTTATGCTGACGACATGGTACTTCTTAGTCCCTCAATCAGAGGGCTACGTACACTCTTAGCAATCTGCGAACAATATGCTGCTGATCATGGTTTGAAATATAACGTTAAGAAGACTGTTATGATGGTATTTCGGGCTGGCAGAGGTCCGGAGACGATTCCGGGCATATATTTAGAAGGGTTATTAATAGAGAGGGTTGAGCGGTTTAGGTATCTAGGCCATATTCTAACTGAAAAACTTGATGACAGGGACGATATAGAGAGAGAACGCCGGGGGCTAGCTGTGAGATGCAATATGCTCGCGCGTAGATTTGGGAAGTGCAGTGATGATGTGAAGGTGACATTATTTAAAACATATTGCTTATGTTTTTATACATGTCAGTTTTGGGTAAAATTTCCTAGGCGAGCGATTAATAACATTAGGGTGCAATATAATGACGCATATCGTATCCTGATGAAATTGCCCAGATTCTGCAGCGCTTCCGATATGTTTGCAAAAGCTCGAGTGCCTGATTTTTTCGCGATAATTAGATCACGAATCGCTTTATTTTGGAATCGTTTGAGAGTCTCTAACAACGAAGTTTCCTTGCGAAGTTGGTAAAAACTTTTGACTGCACGATTCTTAAGTTTTGGCTTTCGGTGCATCAGGAGGCTAATAAAAAATAGATTCTTATAGATTTAGTAGTAATGGCCTATATACTCAACAGCGATATATTGTTTTTAATTCTAGTTTAATTTAATGAAGAGTCTGACTGAATTTTGTTTTTATAGTGTTTTTATTGACTTGCATATATATGCATAATACATATATGTTATTATATTCTAAATTGGGTGTATACCTTTGCAATAAATATTATTATTTTTTTTTACTATGAGATAGCTACAATAAATAGGTTTTAAGTTTTAACATAATATATATTTGCTTTCATGTGAAATTTAAAAAAAAAAGTCACTAAGCTATGTTTAGCTGGTCATTTGAACTACATAATATTAATGTTTATAAAAAAAGTGTATGTGTGTCAGCTCCGACGCACGACTGGAGTTTTTACTTATGATTGTCCTTGATTATGCAATAGGCAAAAAGGTAAATAAACGCATCTCTTACAATATTGAGAAAGCATGTATCACACGATACCTACATAGATTTTTATTTTATTCACATTTTTCATATTGATTCTGTAAAATATAATATATCAATCATGTTACATAAATATATACTACTATATTATAATATATATATATAATACATTTTTAGGAAGGTTGATTTACTTCACTATTAATATCACTTTGAATATTAATTACATGAATACTCTCGCCATTATTAATAACTGGCATTTCAAAGTGAAAGGTGCATAAGGTAGGTTGCACAGAAAAATGTAAAGCTTTTTTTTGAGTTGACGTTTGTATTAATTTCAATCCTCATAGAATTTCTAGATCGGGTGGCTTATATGAAAATCGAATCTTAAGGGGTAAACTCCAAAAGTTCTTTATGTCTTCGTTACATGTTTTATAGAGATAAAGTTTGCCTTTTACAGAATGTAGCTTGTTTCATTGAGGCGATGAAAAATGAAAATGAATCAAGATTTGCGTGCGTGAAAAATATTATTAAGAAAGGAACATAGTTCTCTGATTTTATTACAGAGAGCTATGCATCCATTTCTTCCTTCTTCTCAGTCCAACCCTTTACTATAAAGTAATTAAGAGAATCTGTTCACCAAAAATAAGAGAATCTTTATTACCATTTCACATTTGATATTAAACATCCATAACTAAGCTTCTATCATTGCCTTTTCACCTTTATGCTGATGACCTGCAAATCTATGTAACATCACCCATAGAAGGTCTTCATGATGCCATAGCCAAACTCAATTCTAATCTCAATACTGTAAGTACGTGGAGTAAATCGTTTGGGTTATTTGTAAACCTGAGTAAGTCGCAGGTATCCCTATTTGGTTCTCGTCAGCTAGTATCGAAAATTAATTTGTCATCCCTTTCACCTATTTTATTCGACGGGACTATACTGCAAATTCGCAGCTCTGTTAAAAATCTAGGCCTCATAATGGATAATTCCTTATCATAGGCGCCCCAGATTTCTGAAGTAAGTAGGAGGTTCTTCGCTGTAATTAGTCGTTTGAGGAGGTGGAAAAAATTTTTACCAATAAAAACCAAAGTATCCCTAGCACAAACCCTTCTCCTTCCCTTATACGATTATGCCGATACATGCTATCCTGACTTGTCGCAGATTCACCTCAATAAATTGGAACGTCTACAAAATATGGCAATCCGATTTGTTTACGATTTGAGAAAATTTGACCACATCTCTCAATATCGAGCTCAACTCAAATGGCTCACCGTCAAGCAGCGTCGTAACTTGCATATCCTCACTCTCCTATACACCATCCTATTTCACTCCCACACTCCTCCTTACCTTAAAACAAGGTTTAGTTTCCTTGGTTCTGGCCATTCCCTAAACCTTCGATCGCAAGCTGACAGTAAATTAGCATTGCGCGTCAGTCGCACCCAAAGCTATGGTGACTCATATACAGTTGACTGTATATGAGTCACCATAGCTTGTATATACCATAGTATGTAGCCGCAATATTATTGAATGCTTTACCACATATTCGCCAATCAAAATCAGTGCAAGTTTTTAAACGTCGTCTTAAATACTGTAAGTCTATGTATATTTACGTACATCCTGTTTATGTAAGTTTATTGTGGAATATATACGTATATTGTCTAAACTTATTATTATATATTATTATTATGTAATATATATTTATGTATCTCTTTATTGTTATTTATGTAAACTTATGTGTAATTTATAGTATGTACCGTATAAGTATGTTATATTGTTTTACTTTTTCTTTCTTTTTGCGCCAACCCCTATCCATTCTACCTTAAGAGTTCCTTTATAGGTTTATGGGTTGCCTGGAAGAGATCACTTTAAGTGATAAGGCCGCCTTTACACTGATTTTTTTTATATAATATGTGTTTTAAAATTGTACTTCTTTTCTGGTGTAATAAAGTATTAAATAAAAAAATAAATAAATAAATCAAAATTTAGATATTGTTGTAGTGGTCTGAAAATATGATAAGTCCTCAGCTTTAATTAAATCAGTAATCATCGGGTTGTGAGAAACAATAACCATACACTTAATACATTGCAATTTATCATTCTTTTGTTAAAAATAATTACAATTTTATAGCCGAAGGTGATGACACCGACACCGACGACAGTTTGAGCGACACTGAATATCCAGATAGCAAAACAGTAAAGACTGACCACAATCAAGCTCTATTGGTAGAGAAGAGTCTGCAAAACAATGCACCTGCTATGGGTGAATGGGAACGACATACTAGAGTGAGTATGTATTATTTTGTTATATTTCACACATCGCAACATATTATAAATTCATTAATTTAAAAATCAGTGAGACATCTCTCACTGATTTTGCGTTCATTCTGGCTAATCTCAGTAATTACTAAACCGATTTTTATTCAGTTTTTACTTATATAAAGAGAGATTTAGGAAGGGTTATATTATTAGGAACATTTTGCTAAGCTAAAAAAATAAGCTACATGTATTATGAAATTTTTGAATTAAGTCAAATAAATTGTCCAAAAGTTTCAGTAATATTATATATGCAAAGGGAATTTGGTGATGATGAGTCACTAATTTTCATATATTTATTAATATAAATTTCTTTGTCTTCTTAATTCAAAGAGAATTATGTATATTTTTTGCTATTCCTTGTTGTGCAAGTAAAACAGTTGTTTCCTTTATGAAAAATAAAGGATCAAACTCTTATGTATTTATAGCATTAAAATAAATAATAAGTATAAAAGGTTGTTGAGATACATTTCCAATGAATGATAAATAATCTTAATAATATTCCATTAAAAACAATAATTTGTTTAATTGAAATATTAAATTCTATATAAGTAATGAAGTTTCTGTTCAAACAAATTTAATATATAATTAAATCAAAACACAGTATACTTTACTTTACAGAATGGACTACAAAGGTTCGCTACTGTTTGTAATTCTTGTTATAACGGCTGGACAGATTTGAATGAGGACACAGATAGACTGACCTGATAAAACACACAGGCTACTATTTGGAACCTTTCCTAACTTTAAACTTTTATAACAATCTCTATTCAGCCCTTTTAACGTCCCACTGCTAGGCACGGGCCTCCCTTCAGTACGAGGGGATCAAGCCATATTCCACCACGCTGGCCAAGTGCGGGTTGACGAACAATAACAAAAGTTTCTAAGGAATATTTTAATGAAATAATTCCATTTTCAGGGTATGGGTTCGAAGATAATGCTGTCGATGGGCTACGTGCCGGGAACGGGGCTGGGCGCGGCGGCAGACGGGCGCCTGGCGCCGGTTGAGGCGCGCGTGTCTGCCGGCAAGAGTCTCGACCACTGCATGGCGATCTCTGAGAAACTAGCTGCGAAAGATCCTTTGAAAGTATGTATGGTTATTAATTTATTTACTTATTATCTTGCACTTTTCTGCTCTGCTAAATGACAATGTTTCTAATCCCCTATGTTGAATGTTGACTGGAAGAGATCTCTGTTACAGATAAGTCCGATTTTTCATAATGTCATCACCATCCATTTTCTCATAATGTTGTACATTTTAATTTTTATGTGCAATAAAGAACATATAAGATCAATCATCAAAATAAGATCCGACATTAATTTCAACTATTCTTATTACGTTTTCCTTTTAATATTTTATTTGCGGAGCAGGTTTCCCAACAAACAATGCAAAAGGCGATTACAGTGTATTCAGAATAAAAATATATTTATATATTATATTTTTTAGGTAGTAATAAGTAACTGTGTAGAATTAGACTAGTACTTTATGTAATACGTTTTATATCTTGATACACGATAGGGGCAATAAATTATTGTTATTCTTATTTTGCTATTTGCAGTTAATTATGAATTATCAATTTAACTATACATATAACAATGTGGAACTTATGTACTTATAGCGAAAAATACGAGTTATAAGTTATAAAGTTATAAGTTTGTAAATAAATAAAAATATTATTTTAGGTTGAACAAAAACTCAAAAGGCTTCAGACACGAGAAGAAGAACGCAACAAAAGGGCTTACGAAAGAGAAAAAGAAAGAGAGAGAAGAAACGTATTCAACTTCCTTAACAACACTCTTGGAGACAAATCAGAAGCATCCGAGCCTGGGACTAATGCCTTGTCTATTGATATAAAGCAATCTACAAGTAAAGATTTAAACATAGAAAAATTTAAAGTGGAACAGGATTGCAAGAAGGTAGAGAATGAAATTTTAAAATTAAGCAATAGCCTGGGAAAGTACCCGCAAGGTACTAATGGTCATAGAAGTATTAGTATGCAGATAGCAGAAAAGAATAAAGAGTTGAATATAATGCGGAATAAGGAGAAACAAATTTTAAATGAACAGAAGCAAAGGAAAGATAAACATAAAATGACAGTGTTTTAACATTTGTTAATTTTATTGGAATAAATATTAATAGTGTTTATTGTTTTTCATTTAAACTCCATTTTTAAGTAAGGCGCAGAGCGGGCGGTCAATTAGAGCAGATTTTAAAGTAGAGGAAAACTCAACTGCGTTGCATTTTTTGTGCTGGGTGTAATAATTACTATTCATTTTCAAGACGTCAATTGTAATTATGTGTTTATTGGATAGACTTATTTAATATGTCTCTTACTACAGCCAGTACTAACATTTTCTTTCATATTCAGCGGACTTCAAAAAACAATTATGTACCTATCCGCCCGCTTTCAGATGACCAAAAACCAAATTCTCAGGTTTTACATATTAGTATACTCTTATATTGCAGTTTTTGTATTTTTTCTCAGAAATGAGATATTTTCCCGCGGTAAAAAGTATCCTATATGTTGACCCGGATAACCAGCTATCACCATACCAAATTTCATCAAAATCTCTCCAGTGGTTTTTCCGTGATGCGGTAACAGACAGGCAGACAAAAATTCTAAAAACTAGATCCGGCCTCTGTATCGATAATAATAGTCTTGGCCTGTAGTAATAAAATGATGTGATGTTTTGTATAGCGGTAGTTTATGGGGCTAGAATTCATTATTAAAAGGAATAATTAAATAAAAATCATGATATTTCTTTATTTTTAACATAATTATTATTTTTAACATTAAAATCACGTGACTACAAACGCCAATTTCGGTGCGTGACGTCACCATTGTCACTAGTGTCAAGTATAGTATTATATGATCTAGTTTGTTGTTTATAAAGTGTAGATTCTAAAACTCAATTCTCTGTAATCTCAGAGTTTTAATCGTTTAAGTAAAGTAATATTTAAATTTACTTACGTTCCTGGTCAATACCATGGGGAACAAATTTATTCGAGCTGGTAACTCAAATCATGTATCGATGTCATGATGGTGGCGGAATTTTTCGCTAAAAACCCTGATTTTATTTTTTATTTTATCTAAGTACTAGGTATTACACAAATTAAAAGGTGTAAAAATCTGATTAGTCTTAAAATAATCCAAGGACCCTAAATAATCTCTAATCTCTAAAATCTCTAAGCATAACATCATAACAAAATACAGACTAAAAACATTAAACATACCTACAGCAGTGACCAGTGTTGCGTCCGGCAATATGTAAGTATACGAGTAGTTCAATAAATATTTTATACTCTAATCCATACTTACATCAAAATTATCTTTACAGACGTAAATCATTGATTTTATGGATTGATTTTTCCAGTCTCGCCTTGTGTCTTATTGGTATTATTTTCACATAAGGGCACTGAACAATACTGATTATACTTAATTGCACTCATTTTCAATATTCTTGTTCCCTTTTCAATTAATAATTAATCGATCGAGCCCACAGATTGTGGAATGTAATCGAGCTCTTTATAGTCTACACACGCTCTGAATGTTAAATGACGTCACGCTGGCCGATTGTTAAAAGAGTTGCGTTTTAGCGCCAAATTCAAAAGTGAAAAATAATTTTCGATTTTTTAATATAAGAATACAGTAATTTCTGCGGGAAAATATTTTTAGCATTTCATTTATGTAGACAATAGCTGAGATACTTTTCATAAAATAGTCCAAGACCCTATTTCTATTTTAATAAGATTTTCATAAAAAATATTTAATGTACAGATTCAACTTAGTTACAATTTTATTATATTATATACGATTATATGATATACGATTGTATGAATAAATGATGATTCTTTGATTCATTTGAATGAATTCTGTATAGTTATTATATTATAACTTTCTAAGCATGTAGTTCCGCATAAATAGGTCTGGTGCGCGATGAGCCATTTTAAAATCTTAATACATATATAAAATTTCCGTGTCACGATGTTGGCCTAGGATAAACTTGACTTACTTGTCCGATTTTAACGATCCTTTTTCCCAAAATGTGTGATTTGTTCCAACTTAAAAGATAGTTATTTTATCCCGATTATTTTCTTTATTGCAAAATTAACGATTTTCATACGTGTGTCACAGCACCGGGTCTGCTAGCAGTTTATAAATAATAAGGTATTTGAGGATATGTAGAATAATAATAGACACAGTTATAATTACAAATTTCTATATTTACATGTGATGTTTTTAGTTTAAAATAAGCGTACATGGCATATAATTACAATTAATATATGAAATATTTTTCTCTATAAATTAGATTTTTGTACTATCAAACAATATTACAAAGTACTTATATATGTTAATGGATAGTGTGACTAGCAAATAATATTTGCCGATTATTATATATAATTGTAATATTTTAGTGACAGTGGGTCAAAGTTTTACGACTTAAGTTATCTAATATTACCTACACTATACCTACATTAGGTATGGAACCGAAGCTTCAGAAGCTCGATTATTTAATTCACAAACTAATTTTAAATTTTGCTTATAGAATCCTCTAGAATCTAATATTTTGTTATATCTAGAATAAAAATGAGTATAAGGTGATTACAATCAATTTTGCATAGTAAAATTATTTTCCGAATAATTAGGTATAACGACATACTCTTAAATTTGCTACGTGAGCAAGACGCATTTGTACTTTCCATTATCCCGACGGTTTAGTAAACGTATTCATATATTATATAACAGCATTATGCCAATACACTAACAAGATCTAATATGAGAGAAACGTCAATAGATACCAAATGTGTGCTAACAGTTAAACAAATGGCACTTGTAGATCACCATTTGCTAAAATCATACACGTTTAGAGTAAATAAGGCAGATAGATACCAAAATTAAGCTGGCGACTCATCTTTACATTCGTGATGAAGTAAGTTACAATTTAAAATTGTTTTTTTCCACGAATCACTTTTGAGTGTTCACTTATATAGTTCACTTTTAGATTTCACATTTCTAACAAATAGAACAGTTATACATAAAATACACGACATGTATGTAGCTTGAATTGTTTTTTGTTGACGCAAAGTCATTATTTGTCTTTTTAAAGTATATAATATAATTTGTATGAAATTTCACTATCGCTATAAAACTTACTTCACTGTAAATTTTAGGTGCGTCGCCATCTTATCACCGGACACCTCACCGTCGCGTCGTGTACTGACATATGCGTTTGTCATGTTAAGATTCAGTAATACATGTTAACATGCTCACTTATCATCCTCCCGTACTTTTAACTTACATTACAAATTATTATCTAATGCATTGAAAATTCACAAGACATAAAATTTCCTAAACGAATTAATCACAGAGATTTGTTGAACTCAAGACCTTCACCTTACATTCGGCCCTTTCATTCTAAATTTACAATCGGCACGTACAGAAAACTCTTCAACATTTATAATAGAGAGTGACAAGTTACAGAGAGACTTTGTACTAGAGCTAAACTAAGTGTTGAACGTCGTAACGTAACAAATAAGTACACGTATGAGACTCCTTGCCGCGATAACCTATGCTTGTGATGTCTTTATTACGTACATTGTGATCATGGAATTACGTATGAGGAATCTGATTGTATGGAAGAATGAATGAGATTCACATTTCGTTTACACGACAACTGGTGTTTGTAACTGAGCAATAAATTCCTCTTTAAAGCATAAATTTAAAATATATTGTGATGGATACAACAAGTGTGTGGCACTTGTGCGTGTTTTGTACGCTATAGGGTTGCCATATTTTGCACATTAATTTTGTTATTTCGTGCAGCGTATAGAAGGAGGGGTGTTATAGGTTTAGAAGACACTTTCTTGTTGAACAATAACAACGTATGTAAAATTACTACAAAGTTTAAGATTATACTAACGCAACAAGCGTTTTGGCTACTTCCATTAAACATATCTCCAAGATTTAAATTCCTAATACACATTGACATCCCCTCCAACATACCCTACACTTACATCAACAGCAATCTAACACGATCTGTATATATAGCTGCGTGTGCGCAAGTACATATACATGTGTGTGCGCGCATGTACATATGTATGTAAGTTTGTGTGTGTGTATGGTGTCAGAGCGTAGTGCGCAGGCGTTGTAAGACGCAGGCCATGGCGGCATCCACTGTGTCAAACACTGGCACCTTGGCACGACGCGCCAGGTCCGTGAGGTAATGGCGTCCGCGGTTATAGTCCTTCACTGCCACTTCGCTGTACTGTGGAAATAACAAATGTTAGTATACTACACTGAGAGCAAATCTTTTTATACGAAATAATATGCATAAGTAAAACGTCTCACTAGTGTGATTAAATTTGTATACTTTAATCTCAGACTAAAATATAGACAGATTCCGCCAAAACAAATGTCAAAGTCAAAAATATTAACGTGATTTTGCTATACACATTTTTTACTTTTTTTAAAGATTATGGTAAATTTTATAACGTTCATTCATAGTTTTGAAAAGAAAATATGACTAATAAAAATAATACTATATTCACTTCCCTTTGAAAGAGAAATAGCATAACAGTAGCCCATATTTATTAAATCCTTATGCTATTTTTATTTATTAACAGCATCACTTATTACAATAAATATTCTATTAATATTTGTGTGCTATTTAAAAACAATTATTCCTTAGTCTGAGGATACAACTTCATCCCGAATTTCACGCGCACACACACACACACACACACACACACACAAAAACCACGCGCGCGTACTCATACATACGCACACACAGACACATTCGCACATGTACCACTAGCGCTATATTTACCGGCTTCGCCTTGACGGGATCCATGGGCTGCACTATGAGCACGGTGTGCCGCGGGCGCAGGCCCATGTAGTGCGCCGCCAGCACCATCGCCGCGAAGCTGGGCGACTCGGCGCTCAGGGAGAACACCAGCACACGCGACCCGAGGAGCAACTCTTCGTCGTATGTACCTGGAATTATAAAATAGTTAAATGAGTACATAAAACAATCATATATTAAATGTGAGTAAATAATTTTGTACTACAGAGGGATTTTGTGGACTTTTACGGACCCCCTGACATAGAACAATTTAATGAAGACTACAGAATATGCTATATTTGATATATTTTATTTAAGTCATATTTTTTGTGAACATCTCACGTCAATTTAATAAATCACATACAACTGATCGATTACATATATGAATATAGTTATATTTTACACAAAATAAAAACTCAAGAATTGCCTGTTAGTGTTGAAAAAGAAATATTTATCTTTATACGATTTTTTCCATTATCTCTACTGGATTTACTTTATAAGACACACAATTTCTTATATATGAAATTTAATTGTAATACTTAATATCTATACTTTATTTATTAGTTAAATTAAACAGCATATACATTATAATGATGTATATTACAATCACCTTTGAAGGGCTGCGGCGTGATATCTTCAGTGACGCTATAAAAATCGGACGCGCTGAGCCTATCGCTGTGGCTGTCGGCTTCCGGCGCTCGCTCCCTTAGTACCACATCTACCGGAGATTGGGGAGTGGTAGGGGCGGGCGCACTGTGCGGCCGTGGGGAGTAGGAGGTTGCCCCCAGCGGTTGCGAGGGGGAGTGGGGGGAGGTCGCACCCTGCGTCCGGGAGTGCATGTCTCGGGAGGGAGAGTGGGGCGAGTAGGCGCTGCAGTCCGGCCTTGGCTTCTTATCTCTGCAAGGGGACTCCGGCGCAGGCGCAGTGCGACGCGCTGGTGCTGAGAACATGCGCGTGTAATCGTTGACTCGCGGTACTACATATGTGAAGCCCTCCCGCCTCAATATTTCTTCTGGTCGTGTGTTGTTTGACTGGAAAAAGGAAAGATGCGTTAAAAAATGCGTTTACATAAATATATATATATATATATATACATATATATTTGTTAGCATGTACGGCTGCACACCCGGAGGTCCTGGGTCCGAATCTCGGGTCGGGCCAAGTTTAGTTATAGAGTCTTTCTGTATAGTAAGCCTCAGTAACAGCCCGGAGTGGGAAGTTGGCGATGCTACACCCCCGTGCCTCGGAGAGCACGTAAAGCCGTCGGTCCTGCGCCTTAACTCTCACTAGTCGTGTCGAGCAGTCATCCCACCAGAGTTTGAGAGTGACAGGAATAGAGAGTGCACCTGTGTCTGCGCGTACACTTGTGCACTATAATATCTCCTGTGCAGTTGACTAGTCTCAATGAGATTGGCCGCCGTGGCCGAAATCGGTCAGGAGAACATCATCATCTTAAAATTATTCATTAAAAACGAAGTAAAGATTTACACGTCATATGCCTCATTATTTTAACGTTACCGCGCATTCGAGTTTCAATCTATACAAATATATAAAACTGATGTCTGTTTGTAATGTCAAAATAACAGCTTTTTACTAAATATGAAATTATATACAGTACTTTTAAGAAAAACTCAACTTTAAGTTCTTGTCTGATTGTTTGTTTCGGCTAATTTCGGAATCGGCTGGACCGATTTTAATGGGACTTTTACTAGCAGATAGCTGATGTTATAAGGAGTAACTTAGACTACTTTTATTTCAGAAAAAGAATTATGTTTCCGTTAAAAAACGTAGCTAGGAACGCACCCGAGCGAAGCGAGGGTAAGTCACTATATGTAATATAAATATAAAAGCGCCAATAAAAATTACAGTATTTAACAAGTGATGATATTTTCGTCAATTATATTTAATAATAAAAATAATAATAATAGAATTCACAAAATTTTGATTATCCACAAAATAACATTATTAACGCACTTAAACAGTACAGAATATGTTGACATACTGGCTACGTTTTATCTACTAGATTTAATATGAATTACATAAATTAGTCATAGTTATATCGACTAATGGTTATCTATAGAAAAAAAACTAACTACTATTACTCAGAGGGTGACACCATATATTACTCATCAAAATTAAAACTAAAAGTCAGTGGACCTTAAAATGAGGTAATAAAAAACCGTTGTTTAAATATTAAACAGTAAGTAACCAAAAGATTAGTCAATTGTTAAATATTAGTGTTAATTAGCATTTAAATGATCGAGCGCAGAGTAAACACCCTAATATCGTATTGCTGTAGTACAAAAGTAGGTAATTATGCGTGATATGATTTGTAGGGGTGCGTGAGTGAACGCATGTACTCAGTTGATAATTACGTGCGTGCTATGTACGGTTTGTTTGGAAACGCATTATACTAACAAGGGTTCGCGGAACAAGAGAGGCGCATTGTGTGCTAACTACAGGCCATTCAACAAACGATACTACACATTCTATTCGGTTAAAAGATATTTATCGTAAAACGAAATATGGCTCGATACACATACACACATACAGACACACTGTTTTTGCTATTATTTTTATGTTTTTGCTATTATTTATAAGTTTTTGTTAATATAAGAAAGACTATTGAGTTGTAAAATTTTTAAGAAATTTTCTACGGAACATCGGGACATCCTGGCACAGGTATATATTTACTTAAAAGGATGTTCCAACAACGGACTTAATGTATTTCAAAACTCTTTTATTAATAAATCATTATTCATTTTTTTTTCATTTTCATATGCATGTGTCTTTTTGGCATGTGAACCTTTGTTCATTTGTTCACTTTGTTCGTTCTGACGTCAAGACAATTATAATTGGCACATATACCTACGTGCCTTTTTTGGAAAATAAAAAAAAATACGGTTACGTGAAAGCGTATACAGTAATTAAAAAAATATAAACAATACTCATTCTATAGCAATAAGAATATTGTATACATAAACTTTCACATGTTATGTTTATGTCATGAGAATAGTTTTCACTCGCCAGTTACTTTTGTATCGGTATAATCGAGGTTACATTCAGGTTTTTGGGTCAATGTGTGGCGACTGGCGCGAGTGGGCGGATCAATAACGAAAAAACCTTTAAAGATGACTTTTCAAAGTAATAACACACACATATAGAAAATTTATTCAACATTGATCTTTAATGGCGTCTAAAAGGGGCATTATAATGACTTAGCCCAGTTACATGTAAATAGATATCTTTGTCCCATAAATGTAATATGTAGCCTTGACAACGTGCTCAGTTATAAATGCTAACCTTAGTAATCTTATTGAGTGATACAGATGATCAATTTAGTAATAGATTGAATTATAAGATAATTTTCAAGAATAATAAAACTAAACTAAAATTTGTTTCTAAAATTTACTAGTTTTATTGCATAAAGAAATACCATTTTCAATTATTTGTTCTTTTCCGATACATAATGAATGATAAGGTATACGTATATTTTTATCGCCTTTCTATTTCCCGCGAGACTGACATCATATCTTACTAGAATATCGAAGAGAAATATTTTCATAGCGCTCACTTGGACCGCAACAAATATGTAATGTCAACACAAATATTTATTCAGATTATCATTTAGAACGGATGATTTATTTCAAGTAGTGAGGGATATTAAAAGAAAAATATTAAATTATGTTTTTATCAACACAATGTGGTGTTAGTTATTGTGCGAGTTTTATTTAATTTAAATTTTAATCATAATCGTAGTAAACGTGTATACTATTATATTATAAACTTTCTTAAAACACGTAAATGAAAATTGATGTTTACAAACAAAACACAATTCGCTCAGATCCAATGACACCCAACAAATCCTTCCGTCGCCTCTTTCGCATTATACTAAAACTAGTGACCCAAACTTACTTCGATCAGGTGCGTCCCTATATGTCCTTAATATTCTATTATTACGAAAGCTCTCAGAAGTGACGATTATTTTCGACTTAACTCATAAGTACCGTCATAAATGTTTTATAAATTACGGCATATAATTTTATTAGATAATCTCTATCTATCAATGGAGTCTATAAGAAAATTCATAGATAGTTTCTGAGAATCTTCCAAACTAACACAAACCCGGCGGCGGGGGTTAAATATGTCGATTTCTAAACGTTAATTTTATATTGAGTTATTTATTAAAAATTAATATTTCACGTTATTTATTTATTATCAATAATATAATATGAAACATTGACAAAAACTTGTTAAGTATGCGGCCTTGTGAAATTGAATATTCCAGCTACCTATCTGATCCATACTACTAGTCTATAACAGCGGTTCCCAAATAGTGGTCCGCGAAACCCTTGGGTTCCTTGGAAAGGTCACAGGGGTTCAGAGTTACATACGAGAGTTAAATAAAACGTTGTCAGACATGAAAGCCTAATTTTAGTGCTATTATAAATATGTGAAAAAACTCATTTGCCACATATTAAATGGCTAGGTTATATTTTGGATACAATAAATATTATAATAAGTATTAATATTTTTCATTGATGATAAGTTCTTTCAAGTCAAACAAGTATGTATTCTAACTACAACACAATCAATTATTATCAAAATGGGTATCCGATAAAAAATTTATGATGAACTAGCAACTTATCCTCGCTTTACTCGTGTGCGTCCCTAGGCGCATTTTAATTGTTGTGAGCGGAACCCAATTAATTTTTTTTTATTCTAAAATAAAAGTAGCCTAAGTTACTCATAACATCAGCTATCTGCCAGTAAAAGTCCCATCAAAATCAGTCCAGCCGTTTCGGAAATTAGCCAGAACAAACAGACAGACAAAAACTGTTTTAAATTGTTTTTCTTATAAGTAACGTATATAATTTCCATATGCATTTAGTAAAAATCTGTTATTTTAACATTAAAAACAGACACTTCAATTTTATTTTTCTGTATGTATAGATTAGGGTTCCGTGGCCAAAAAAATGGGTAACCGCTGGTGTTTAATGTAGGGGTACTCACAGGGAAAGCCCCGCCCAGGTACACGTCGTGCACGGGCGCGCCCAGCATGGCGGGCAGGCGCTGCAGGCGGCGCTCCGTGCCCGGCGTGAACACCTCGCCGCTGCCGTCCGACGCCGCGCCCGACGCCGCTCCCGTCTCCGCCTGAGGCTCCGCGCTCCTGTTGCCGCCGTTCTGGAATCATATGTTTTTGTTATTATAGATTACCTATTGTTAATGCGAAAGTTAGTATGTGAAACGTAGGAGATACTCACGCACGCACACACACACGCACGTACGCACGCATACAAACATTCGCTATTATAATAGTTCTCAAATTGTTATAGTAGAGACAAAATAAAAAAATCGTGACTATGTATGACCTGGCGTAATGGTCCGACTAACTGTTGCTTTGTTTTAAGACAGCTTATTTTATTTTTGGTTTTTCAGATTAGTCGCCTATAAATGTCTATCATTTTTTCAAAAAATTATTTATCGAAATAGTATAAGTTAAACTGTGACATTTAACTTATTTTTCAAAATGTATAAATAAAAAAAGGAAATACCGCAAGCAAAGAGGTGCATAATCAAACATCACTCCACACTTTCTAGTAATTTTAAGACAATGCATAATGCGTTGATTTACTGCTTACAAAGTAAGTAGGTATAACGACCCACTTAGCTTCAACCAGAACAGGATAAATCTGTATGACTAACGATAATACTCTCCCATGTAACTTTATTTAAAACCAATTTTAGCCTACGACTTCGTCCGCGTGAACAGCATTTTCTTTTAACATTCTTCTGCCACACCATCCATAGTTCAGAAAAAAATAGCAATAAAGTTGAGTATCCTACAGGAAGCCTTAACCAGAATGAAAATCCTATCCGTTCTTATATAAATGCTAAATTACCTAAATCATGTATCATTTTACCCTTAAATAAACTAGAACCATCCAATCACCTCAGAAACTTCCCAATTATATATAATACCTTAGGGATAAACAAGGAGAGTTTCTGCCCGTACGCCCTCAGACGCGGGTTGTGCACTCTGAGGCCGTTCTCGCGCGCCTCCCGACTCGACACTCTCTCCGTCCCGCTCGCACCCGACGTCGCACTCGCTTCCGTGTCCTCAGATTCTGAGTGACGAGACTGGTATTCTAAAACATTATATATAAGTCATGTTTTATTGTAATGGTTATTTTTTTAGTTATGTACTGATAGTAGTACTGTAGTATACACTTGCGAGACAGTAAAGAATAAATTGGATTCGATTGGATTGGGAAGACACATTGGATTATTCATATTCAATCATATTCTTTTTGCTCATTAGAAAAGAAATATTTTCGGGGAGTATCAATTTATAAAAAGTGAAACGTGAAGTCGTTTTAATTTATGTCATACATTCAAAGTACACAAAACAAATAATGCGTCAAATTTGATAAAATTAGCTAGAAGTCCTTGACGACTACACTTCTCTCTCGAGTTTACAAATACGCGATAGTTGGCTTGGGCATTTATTTATTCTCGTATACCTATACATTATTATGTCATGTCGTAAAACTTTACAAACTTTTTAATATTACATTCAAACTTAACAAGGTGATGGTTATATAAAAACAACAAATGAGTGATATTTAAAAACAAATGGCAAAAATAAACTCGCAAAAACGCCTTGAGACAAAACTGAAAATCAAATCGGTTGCAAACAAAATTATCACACCGCATATGAGTCCATTCGCAGAATGAAACCTGAGTGACATGAATTTCTTAGTGAAGTGTTTAAAGTGATAAGATAAATAAGCGATGTTTACAGCTATTATGTTGAATGATTACAATTGAAAATTCTATCTGCGAGGGAAATAGATAACGTACAGCGAACACAGCTGCAAAGTAAAATGAATGAATGAATGAATGAAATGTAATTTATACATGTCTGCATAGTGAAGATTGCGCTTTAAGCGCACCGTTACGCGAGTGCGATATGGCCAAAACTCTAAACTATTTAACGAGCGTGACTTGATAAATTGCAAGTTTATAGTGCATTCGCCGTTATTTTTAGATACATTCCTGGCACATCTATGACTTAATATTTAATTACGATACGTGAGGTCCGCCGGGGTGTTTTATTATTGAGTTTATGAGTTTAAAATTTTGGATATTAAACAACAATATTCAAAAGATTAAAAATACATCTCATCAACATTAGCTTAAATGCCGCTATAAATTGCAATGTGAATAAAAAAAAATATATCGAACAAAAATCGAAATAAGTATGTAAGCTGCCATAGAATATAATCGTCACAAAGTTTAATAACCGATATAAATATAAACAAAGTAAGTACATACGTCAAAATAGAAAGCTATGCAGAAATATTCGATTAAGTGGAAATATTCGATCAAATGTAATTTACTTTCGTATTTAAAAGTATTTAGACATGAGAAGTTTTTTGTCCGTTATCTCAACATGAGTAACGTGTAAGTAACGGTACGCTTGTGAGGGCGATAAATCAAACGCAAAGCTTGTCGTGCGTGCACGCACCGGGGGGCAATGCGGGCGACGTGATCAAGTCACGCAGAGAGCGAAACGCGCGGCGCACACGCGCGGCCACGCTCGAGCCCGATGGAGTTCGCGGGGATTGCGAACCTTCAACAAATAATGACAATCGGGGAAACCTTTACTAAAATAATTCATATTATTTTCAAGCAAAACTACGAATTTCAATGATTTAAGACTTTACTACGAAAAAAACGGTTTACTCAGATGTGGAAGTTTCTGAAATTGGGTAATAAGTCTAGTCAATTAAGAAGTTTTACCTGTATCAGCGGCTAATTCAGCGACGGCAGCACAAAAGGTTTCAAAGTCGATCGAGTCTGCGTTAGGGGGCAAACACCGCTCGACGAAGTCGCGAGGCGCTCTCGTCGACTCTCTGAGAGCTTCGACGGCTCGTGCGCGTGACAACCGCGCGTTTCTGCCGCCCGCTGCATCGTACGCGCGTTTTAGCCGCAGTATCGTGTTACCAAGGGAGTGACGAGGATGCGTCCGCGCCCCTCGCAAGACTGCGCGTGCGCAACGCAACGCCGCGGGGATGTCTGTAAATGCAGGTAGTCCTCGGCGTTCTACCGCTTCTTGCAATGTCGCTCGCGCTCGCGATAGCTCAACGTATTCTCTGAAAATAAACATAAAACAATTCTAAAAGTCCATTACAGTTATCCAATTTTAATATAGACTGCATAAATTTACTGGTACCTACTGGACTGTAGATGCGAGTCAAATGGATCGTTATCTTATATTTAAGCAGTCTATGGTGTCCCGGGCGCTGAGGGCTCGTGTGCGATGGACCAATAAGTGTTTGTTGATGCTACGAGAAATAGAAGAGCGATAAAGATAGATAATAGCGCAATGGAGATAGAATCGTATATGGTTTTACTTACTGGTCCGAGATAGTTTCACGGCCGATTATCTGGTGTCGCGAATAGGGTTTCAGTACTAGCAGCAGGTCTCGTGGGGCCGCGGCGAGGTGTGCTGCCTCCACGCTGGCCGCGACGGCTCTCGTCTCGCTGTCCAGCACGAATAAAAGAGCTCGAGCTTCAGCCTTCGCGCGATGTTCAACTTCTATTAACTCCGTCGACCAATCGTCTACTTGCTAGGCATGACAACAAATAACAAAACATTCAATTCTGGTAAACTATAGTTAAGTCATTTGTTTTATTTAATTAATGTATAGTTAATCCCTACACGACCGCGGACACGCCGGCGTGTCAGTTAACAATAGATTTCTTAGAATTCTAATTCATTTCTTAGAAATTTACCTGGAAGTGTTAAGAGGATTGTGAAGTGCCGATACGCGGCGAGAGTAGGTATTTTTAAAAATGCTATCTGTTTCATACCGCTTTGCATCCCCCCGGCAGTGAACAACACAAATACAACATACGCAAATTCTCACACACACTATGATAGCAGCAGCCGGTGACGCGCGGGCGCTTGCGGGGGGCGGGGGCGGGGCGGCGCGACTCGGCGCAAGAGCAATTTCAAAGTTTATCTAATATCTACGGTTTGCGTACAATATACATTCCCTACAAGTTACATCGCACCTTTATTCATAAACTGAAATAACTCTAAATTACAATTTTGTGGCGAATATCATTTAAAATTTGACTTGTTTAGATTGATGACTTCAAAAAATCATAGAAAAATAAATAGGTGATTTAGATCAATTACAAAAAGCTCGTTCCAAAAGTTGAAAGTTTTAGAATTTTTTGTTGTTTATGTACTAATAGACCCATCGGAATCCTTTTATTTTTAAAATAATTTATTTATTGCAAACATGAAGTTTTATGATTTTAAAATGTTAGCAGGTATATAAGGAATAGAAATTCATAAAATGACCTGATCATGAATGATGATGATTTACGATTTTTTAACAAATCTATGACTAAATTTTATAAAATATATCAACTTAATTTTTTAAAATATATTTTTAACTAATGAATAAACAAGATTAGATTACGAATGAATTTCATTTCTTTTTGTAATTGTCCTAAAATCATTTTTTTCAGAAAAATCAATAAAATTAACTGCAAAAACTAATAAAATATCGATAAATTCGAAAAAATTATAACGAATAGTATGTGTATATTTATAAATATACATATGCTATTCTTTATATTTTTTTAAAATTATAACGAATATTATAAATTATAACGATTATAAAATTAAAAATATAAATTTTACAAAAATAAAAGTATTTTTATTGCTCCTTCTAAACGATAGTAGTCCAGCAATTAGCAAAAGAAAGCGCGTGACCGGTGGAGGGCGAGGGGTGGAGGGGTGTAGGAAGACCCTTACTCATTTAAACTTATACAAACAAATATCTCGAAAACTTTGAGGTTATCGTAGAAAGTGTTATTTATCAAAGTTGTAGATTTTTACTAGACCTTTTACATTTGTACAAAATATTTTTCGATAGAACGTCACAGTGAGCCGGAAATTCAAAAAAACTATTTTTCAACGCTTTGCGTCCTCCCATTTCTCGAGTGTAGCTGGACAGATGGGGCATTTTACGAATTTCTAATCCTTATATACCTGCTAACATTTGAAAATTATAAAACTTCAGGTTTTCAATATATTGTTGTCAGATTCCGATTGGACTATAATACTAGTATACATACCAAATTTTAGCTTTCTAGGACTTCAGGAAGTACCCTAAGAGTTTTGATGATCATCAGTGAGTCAGTGACGAAATCGGAGTTTTTTAGATATCAATAAAATCTAATGTAAAAGAGCTATGCAATTGAAACTTTTTATGTTTAGCTAGCATTGCCCGCGGCTCCGCCCGCGTTCATATGACCAAAAACAAATTCGTAGGTTTTACATATTAGTATATTCGTACATTGCAGTTTTGTATTTTTTCTCAGAAATGAGATATTTTCCCGCAGTAATCCTATATGTTGATCCGGATACCACCACCAGCTACCACCACACCAAATTTCATCAAAATCTCTCCAGTGGTTTTTCTGTGACGTGGTAACAGACAGACAGACATACAGACAGACAAAAATTCAAAAAACTATAGATTCGGCCTCTGTATCGATAATAATGTTTATTTCAATAATATTTTCCAAAAAATATTTAATGTACAGATACGGCTTAGTTACAATCTATACATACGAGTATAATAAAATTCTAAACTTTGGATTGAATCCTTTCAGTATCGATCGATATATCAATATTACCTTCTCCTCCCTAGGAGATAATAATATCGATAGCACCTTCAACATCACTACAGTCTAAAATATGCCCCTGCCCCCGACCCGTATGGTGCGATAGAGAGAGTTGCAAGTCTTAGACTCAATTACCTACATTTCCTTTTTGAAATATTGTTTCGGGCGATAACGTTTTCACCCCCCTAAACATTAACGAAATGAGACGATTTTGGTCTCATTAGATTCAGTACACCTTAATCTAGGTCTGTACGTTTTCCTTTTTTTGTAATTCAGTTTAGTTTAATTTAAAAAAATAAAAACGCTGGAGGAAGTTTTTAGGTCAAAAATATAGATATTTAGATGCTAATAACTTCTGTCGTACGCAATATTTCAGAAAAATAAAAACGTACGGACCTAGATTTTGATTATATCTACAACATTTCCAAAAATTATGAAAATTAGACTATGTTTAAGGGGGGAAAAACGTTATCGCTTTTTGTATGAAAATTTACAGGTTCACAATCCTCTTAAATATAGAGCGACAAGACTTTTTTGCGCGGTATGTAAGCCGATTGAACTACCTGGTAACATGATTATAATACATTTGTTATGTAAAATTACACATATGTCAATCGAATATAATGTGTAGGTGTCAACAAAAATGGCCATCAACAATATATGATTCAGCTTATCTAAAACTCTCAATAAAATTGTGAAAATTGAATCTAATTAATTAGTATTTGTTAATAGAATTACCATTTTACATACCAACTTGCAATATTGTATTATTTTATTTATTGGTATTAATAATTTTATCTATAAGTAGTCGAAATATTTACGATAAACGTGTTGTACGGTTTGTATTTTACTCAATATAATCACGTTTATTATTAAGTTACATATTCAAGGAATACGCATTATCTCCGATATTGCACATGACACTATGAACATGTATTTCAATAGATACTCCGACTGGCGGTCGATACTCGATTATTTATTTTTTGTTGCTAGAAACCTGTTAAGGAATGTTGTCATGTTTATTAATATTTAGTAACCATTAAATATAAAATAATACTGGCGTCAAGATAAAACTAGTAGTTTACAAAGAAAAAAATAAATACACTCAAGTCATTGAGTACAGCTACAACTTCTTAACAAATCACGTCTCTTTTGGTTAATCATTGTTTATTTCAATAAGATTTTCCAAAAAATATTTAATGTACAGATTCGGCTTAGTTACAATTTTATTATATCTATAGATATTCTTACGTTATTTGAAAAATGCCGGTATCTCATACCTATAGACGTAAGCTATATTATATAATATAGCTGCTATGTAGAGCCGACAGTCACAGTAGGTACATTCTGTGATAAAATTTCAATGAATTTAAATACGAAGGCCTACAGCATACCTTTACTGCTAATAACAAATACCTAAAATTGTATAAGTATTGTTACATTTAACTTTAAAAACTTCAGTCTTTAAAGTTAGTAATAAACCTTTATTACTTTCTAAAGTAATTCTAATATTGTTTGACAGATTCAATCCTGTATATTTACTAGCCAAATTCTAGTACTTTATATCCCTAAAGAAAATATAACCTACGACCTATGAGACAAAAAGACACAAAAAATGCTAGACGGTGATCGAGTATGAAAATAAAAATTAAAGGCGTAATAATAAAAATGAATTAGCCTTGTGTTTGAGTTCTTTCGAGATCACCGATAAAGGAGCCGATCGCTGACTCCACTCTCATTAAATTACCGCCTCAGTGACCTCATCAGTCATTTCGATGATGTGGCTTATAAATTGAGCATTTTATATGGGCATAGTACATGTCTAGTTTATTAATTGTTTAAGTTAGTAAAATTAAAAAATAACATGTTACAAAACTTACAGGATTGAAATATGTGATGCCCATTTTCTTAAGCATTGGTATAGCGATGTCCGATCTCCATGTTGTCGGATTGCAGGATCCCCCGAGGAACACCTCGCACGGAGGTGGGGACGCCTCGCTGCCTGCGCAATGTTACATTATTTACTTATTCCGGAATAACAAAGTGCAAAGGAAGTGCATTAATAATTATAGATATATATGATTTAATAGATTTCCGTTGTAGTGTATATTTTTTATGATTTATAATAAATAGACACATATGTATGGACTATGAATTACAATCAAATATTGACTTTTGTAGCGGAGCCAAAATATTCAATTAAAAGTACAAAAGGAAAAGAATTAGATCCGTACAACCATCTACTGTATTTTTCGTTTTCATAATTTTGAATAGTTATAATTAAATACACGAGAATACAAATAGATTCGTCGAAAGATAGATCAGTACCTCGAAACTTTTCTAATCAATTTTCATTTATTATACAGAATAAATAATATGCAATATTCTGTTTTCTTATAATTTCTTATTAACTAGGAGAACCCGCAGCTTCATCCGTGTTTAAACTACAAAAACTCTCTTTTACCCTTTTTAAGGGACGAATTTCAAAATAAACTTAATATATGTATTATTAAAGATGACAGACTTACATCCCATATTTTATCCCTTTAGGGGTGGAATTTCCAAAAATCGGATATACGTATTGTATATTTATTTCTTATTTTAAAGGTAAATACCACCTTCCGTGTATTTAACATAAAAAAATTACAGAATTTCATAAACACTTTCATTTCCAATTTTATCCTCTTAGTGGCTGAATTTCGAAAATTTCTAAAACACATTTTTATTTAATTGTATTGAAGAGCGTTAATGCCAAGTTTCAAGTAACCACTGGAGAGATTTTGATGGAATTTGGTATGTGATAGCTGGTTATCCGGGTCAACATATAGGATACTTTTTACCGCGGGAAAATATCTCATTTCTGATAAATTTATAATAAACGTCAATATGTAAGTAGGGACGAACCCGAGCGAAGCGAGGATGAGTAGCTTGTTTTATACACATATATAGATTTACGATTACTTTATTTGGAAATAAAATTACTGTCGCATTTCATTAAACTTATCCTTTAACAATCCAGTTCACGTTAGGTATGTAAGGTCAGCGACATATGTATATAGTGACATCATCAATATTTTCTATACACAACAATATTTGTTTAAATATAATTAAGTGTTTAATTAATCGCACATTTAAACAGCCAATATAATTATCTTGAAAAAAATATAAAATCTATATAAGATCAGTCGCGTACTTAGTCGATGTCTGTCCTTTTGTCTCGGCGTATTTCATCTGGCTCTGCTTACCAAACCAAATTACAAAACTCATACGAATTCTGATTTTTTAGTTTTTTTTTGTACATCACATTATTAATCAAATAAAGGGGGTATTTTTTTATTCAAAAAGACTTTTACAAGTACTTTTGAATCGTCAATTTTATATTTTAAATTTAAATTAAATGTCAGTGTAGTCAGTCCGTGAGGAATCTACCATTATTAAAACGAATACGAATATTTTAATTTTAAAATTAAGTTCAAGAGACAGAAAGTGCGAATGCTTAGTATCTTCTATCGTATGAAAGTATTGAGCTTAAATATTTTGAAATATCGAAGACCCTAAATTATAAAATTCGATAATTAGATTTCCGAAAACTAATTAACTCCCTAGTATCGAAATCATAAATTAATCATTAATATCTCTGCAACGTTAATGTTACGTGTAGGTGTAGTAACGAGCAACTGATTCTATATAGAGAATAGATTTTATCACGTGTTCAAAGCACAAAACCCACGCTCTTTAAACTAACAACACTACCATCGTGTCTAACGTGGTGTCTACGTCAATACCGTGAATAATTCCATTTATAGTCCTAACATAAAATATGTAAAAAAGTCATAATTGTTTTGAATTCGTGACGCTTTTCGATGTTAATTTCGGATTGTATGTGTATCCATGTAATATACTGATTGTTGTCTAATGTATGAGCAGTTGACCCTATTTCTCGGACTTGATTGAAGCACGCTAAAGAAGTACAGTTAATTGTTAACAATTGTATTGTGGTTGAACACGCATGAACAGTAACTATAAACATTTAGTCAATCCAAAGATCAATCATGATTTAAAGTTGTACCTAAAGTATAATTCAAATGATTATTGCTAAAAGCTGTAGAAGAGCTTACGCACACGAAGCTCTTTTTAACGTTTTATAAATTAGACAATCCAGTAACTTACATTATTGCCAAATGTCGTTAATTTCTAAAATAAATGAAGCTTTACTTTAGTTTTACCTTCACTGAGTTATACAAATACAAAAAGACTCATAAACATATTTGGGTCGCTATAAATATTACTGACTAATGTGATGGGTCACCTTAAATTAGAAAGTGTTCCGCAAAGGTAAACGATCCGTTCGCACTGATCCTCATGGGTAAAACACATGGTAATATAAGTTTAAACACATCCGGAAATTTCCTCATTAATTTTAATATAAAACCCGAATAAAAATATTTAAAAAAATAAATAATATGAATGAAACAGATGTTGATGTTGACAGTTCAAAGCATTAAAACGTGGCCAGCACACAATTCAACTCGGGATCCGCATTCAATGCCAGAACGAAAACGTAAACACTACGCGTAGTCAACAAACGCACTAAACATCCCTTCCTCCGCCCGCACATACACTTAGAAAATGTCTTTTAATCTACGCGACTTTGTAGTAAACGTATTTGCGTCACTGAATAAATCTTATACACAACAAAGATGGAACACCATGTTTTTTTGGTTAACCTATGTTATCCTCAACATGAACTTCACAATTCTGAAAAACATAGGGGTTGTAAGTTAGCATGAGTGTGGTAAATAATGAGGTTTACGATGGTTGAAACGCACAGGGCACTATCATTGTGGTAGGCGGCATGGTTGCGGCTGTTCCTTGACACTCGCGCCTGTGCGCGCTGCCTCGACGGACGGTCGGCGGCCGACTGGCGTTGCGGCAGCCAACTCTACGTCCGACTCCTAGCCAATTCCGCATTTTAAAATATTCCGTTATTCCTATAGCTGATAGCACTACAAAGACATGACACAATTAGCATGACTATTATCCATCCTTTTAACCAGTTATTATCTTATTCATCCGTTAACGATAACTTGATCGGGTAATTGACGGTGAAAACATTCGAACGCTCTGCATGGTCAGTCACTGTCAGTATACTATAGTAAAAAACTTGATGTACAAAGTTATATTATAAGGATTACAATCTTAAGATTTGTTACCTATCAATAGAGGCATGAAAATGGTCACCGACACCAATTCAAATTCATCGTGTTAATAATAATTCATACAAAGCTTGACGATATCCATCAATGTTATTGTCATCCGCGTATATAAGACGTGAGAATTATTTCGAAAATAATAATTGGCCTGGAGGTAAGGTGCAATGGCCTGAAATGGTAACGACGATGTAAATTGTGATGTCATACACGCTTAACTCACTACTAAACATCAATCGCTATATAGTTAAATATCCACAATATTTACAAGAATCCTTAAGATTTATAGGTGTTAATTCTAATTATAAATCTTGTTAATTATGTACTAGGGTACATAGTACTTATTGTACTTATTTCGAATTATTAATAATTAATGATGATCTTATTTAAAGAATTAATGAGTAATAAATTTTTAATAGTACCGAGAGATCCATTTAATTATGAATAAAATATGTTATTTTGATTGAAATTGAAACCCCTAGTTGGTTTTAAATTGTTTCTTAATATTGTGTTTTGTTTATTTATATTTTATTTACATGTATTACACGCAAAGTTATCACATTTATATAGGTATACATATGTATATAAATTCGTACATTATTAATAGCTTCTCTCAACAAATTCATTTATGTTCTTTTTAATTCATTAACAGTGTATTATACTATATTTCAACTAATTAAACATAGGCATGGTAGAATTTTGTACATAAAAATAAGTTGTGTGGCAAAAAATGCTCAACTAAATTCTTCGCGTTATGAAATTATCACTATGTTCAAGGTTTCTGATATTTGGTAGGTTCCTAATAAACTTACAATTTATAAATGATTTGAATAGGTTTTGTGCGTCGCCCTGCTTCGGGCGCACATTTCCGCACTCTGTTTATAGTTGGTGCGGAAGAACCGGGAAGGCCACACCCGCTATTTATTTGAGTTTATTTGCTTCAGAGCAATGCGGAACTAAATCCTTTGTCTATAATATATTTATATTGATTTTGCCCGTGATTGAGATAGACTATAGATATGTAACAGAAATTATGCTCGAGCTAGAATTTTTATCATCTATCAACATTTTTTACGTATTAAGTGCGCAGTACTTCAGTTTGCTTCCTGCTTAACATAAAATATTTTGAGACTTATATAAAATACTAGCGGACCCGACAGACGTTGTCCTGTCTACACGTCTTTAATTTGAAAATTTCAAACTTTTTTTAATAATTTTTTTGATGAAAATTATTATTCAAATTGTGAATCTAAACCATTCCCAGATCCCCTTGAACACACACAAAAAATTTCATCAAAATCGGTCCAGTCGTTTGAGAGAAGTTCAGTGACATACACACTCACAGAAGAATTATATATATAAAGATTACTAAAAACCGGAACAATATGTACAAAATGTTTTAAGTCACGCAATAAGGAAATAATAAAAAAAAATTTACTTATTTAAGATATTCAAGTCAATGTGTCATCATTTATACGACTCGATCAGTGTGACCGATGGTCGTTAGTACCTTCAATACAACTATGTGTCTACATATTTTTTAATACTTAAAACATATATCTATGTCGTTTATTATTAAAAAAACAATATACAAATAAATGTTAAGTCTCCGACATTTTCGACAATTTATCGAATAATAAATACGTTTTGGGTGGTTTATACTAATACTTGAGTACGCATATTATTTATAAATTTTCTTTATTTTTTTTAGTTCGTCTCTAGAAAAGCACGACAAACACATCTATCCCACGGAATCGTTCATTTTTCCAGAATAAAAAGTAACCTATTGTTTGAACGGCAATATAAGGTATCAGCATGCCAAATTTTACTAAATTAGGTGCATAAGTTGTTGTGTACTAATCTGTATAAATTACTATAGTTTTTTAACTATCCCACTGGAACTCTTTAATTTTCTTAAATTATCTTAAATGTTGACCGGGGATATAAGGTACCACCATGCAATATTTCATATAAATCAGTCCAACAGATTCGTAGATTAGCCCGTACAAAGAGACAAACAGAAACAAAAAAATTGAAAAAAGAACTGGATTTGTTCTTTTTCCCTTCTTACACCCCCCTGGCTCAGTTTTTAGCATTTTTTTTTCTATGCACACACATACATTCGACCTCTACAGTTTTATTATATGTATACATGTTTATTTATTAATTTTATTAGACAATCTATAAATAAGTCTTACCATTTACGGTAGGAATGTCGGGAGTCCGGAACAACTCTAAATTAACTTTACATTTGAGTCATAAAGCATTATATTATGTTTTAGGAAACCCGTCGCGTAGTCAGACAATAACGTGTAATCAAATTCTTGTTAAATGTTTATCTTAATTTAAAGTAGGTATCTTGTAGTAAACTTTATCTTAGACTTATATTATTAAATTTTATAATGTTGTAAATAATCCCATAAAATATTTTATAAATGCGACAGTCTGTATGGACAAATGTTGGTTACTCAATCACGCCAGAACGGCTGAACGAATCTGGATGAAAGGCACAGAGATAGATTATAGTCTGGAACAACACGTGCTAGTAGGTAACTTTTTAACCCGGAGAAATATACGGTTCCCGTGGAATAGCTCTGTTTTTCTTTTTTTTCACACGAATAAAAACAAACGAACAAAAACTATATAGTTCTAACGTCACGTGAACGTATATAAATAACGTACAACTATATAATCCTGACTTGAATGTTAGTAAAATAAACAAAGATGCACCGCAAGATGACGCAAATTTGCAGAATCTCTATGATCAGTTCCAACTACATACTGATACTTCTGAACATATGCATTATTATACTACTATATATTTGCTAAATTATTATTGTAAATTTCTCTAAGGGATTTTTTCTTTTTCATTTTTTTTCAAAATTTAAAAAGAAAGGGTTACTTATAACAATTGACAGTATTTAAAGATAATGTATTTTTATTAATATATAATAGACGCCATCATTTGCCCGCTTTGCTCACGAAGTTTATTTGCTCCACTAAGGGTCGTAGCGTGATTTAAGATAGCCTATAACCTCCATAAAGTCAGACACGACGACACGACGAACTACAGTCACAATGAGATTTATTTACAATCCATATTTACAAACCTAAAAAATTTTTTATATAAAAAAAAATTTCAAAATGATTTTGACTAGCCAGATTGATTTAGTTTGCAGTTTGTATCAGCTTCTTTAGGGTTTAGCTTCATTTGTCCCAAGAGATACATTTCATGTTCAAAAGAAAACGTCAGACGAAACGTTTGTAAATTACTTATTTACTACGACTTGTTTAACCTAAAATATTTTTTTCTAGAAAATTATAAGCTAAAATGTACATCATAAGAAATGTTTACAAGTTATAGTTTAAATTTAACGATATCACTATAGTATCTTGGGAAGTGTTGTGACAATCAAAATTCAAGTCGATCAAAAGTATCGATTTATTATCCTAATCCTGTCAATATAAATGATAGTTTTAATCGTTATTTTTTTTATCAATCTTATTATATCGAAAACTTATACTATTATATATTAAGCTTATATTATTATATGTTAAGTTTATATTATTACCTACTTATAAACTAAGCGGTTGTAAATCCAGTTTTAAATAATCAACATTGAATCTTAGGAATCAGATATTTTGATACTGTTTCTAGACACAAACATAAAATCACGTTCTTGGATTAGACAAAATAAGAGTATTCGAACAATCTGAAGCGCAAGTCCTAATAATCGATTAAGGTGAACGACAAGTGCCTCTATCGCTATCCATTAACAGCGCGCCATATAATGCCCACCTGACAATTAGATACTGCATTAATCAATCATTACCTAGATCGATGATAGATTGATGTCATTTTATATTAACACGTCTCTATAAATAGAACTACCTATACAAAATAATATTGATTATGTGAACTTTATTAAAAAAAGTACATTTTATGAATTATATGTTTTTTTTATATATATATATATTAAGTGACAACATTGTTTGAACAATGAATAACATCCCTGTCAGTGACAGATGGGGCGTGGGCACAGCGGCAGTGAACTTACGCTCGCACCGCCCGCCCGCATGCATGGGCACGGGGATGCCGTCGTAAAGTATTTCTGGATTGGTACCGTGCGGAAAGTTAGTCATTTCAATTTATGATTTGTTTAGCGGATCTCCGTTGTATCGCATCGACCTTCCGCAAGATAAAATAAGAGATAATATATCGAGATCATTCTAAAGTTATAACGGAAGATAGCCGCCTCGTCTCTACTTGCTATTACTCATTTTGAAGCGACTCTATCAAAACTTTGAAAATAATCTATTATTATAACTGTAGTTCTTACCGTTGACATGTTTGCAAATGCCATCCTTGTCTCGAAATTCTTTCTCTAGGCTCCAAACAGGCGATTCCGGCTTGTTCGATGCTCTGTAAATAAATGATTCAATAAGCTATGTACAACAATTATTTATATACCTATTGTGTAATAAATGACCCTTTGAGGTGATCGTTAGGGTTCTAGGATATTCTAAATGAGAATGCAAGTCCTTGGAGGTGTGATTCAGTGCATGACCAACATTTTCTGCGACATTCAAGGGTCAACGCTCGCGTCCGCGATACCGGTAGTGGCAGGCATCTGAACCACCACGGTTCAAGACCGGGTAAGCGCAAACGGTGGCAGTTGCAGCCCATTGTGACCGTCATCGACGGAATTAAACTGATTCATGTTGCACTTGAAACGGACATCGAGGATACTAATTACGCAATTATAGTTAGTTATTATTTATCATCACATCATATACTGCAAGACACGGAATTATGTGCAGCTCGCCTTTGTTTTTGTTATTCTGCCAAAAGTCTATGCGCAGAACATTAAAACGCCCGTAAATATTTATACAAAAAGATGGTATAAGATCCAAAATTATAAAAAAGTAAACAATGAAGATAAAGAGGTTCATGTTATATCCATCAACGATTTTGATGATACCTTACTTACTGTCTTGCCTTATTTCGTGTCCAGAATACATCTTCCACATTCTATGTTATGTGCACATTATGATTTATGATCAAGACCGGTTTATAGTTTTTAAGATGAAAAGTTGAGTTGTGCAATTATATAAGATGCTACTCAAATAAGTTAATCTAACCAAAATTCATCAAATTGATTATAATTATTATGGAGTTAACAGTAAGTCATTTAATCTATTAATTACTATGTATATACGACACTTTTTAACTAATACGTATGTAGAATATACAGTGTAATGAACGTAAGGAAAACAATCTTCCAACCCTTTGATTTTTTAAATTCGACTTTAACAAAGTATTTCTTTTTTTTTCTTTCTTTAACAAAGTATTTATTTTTTATTATTAAAGTTTATTCTATAGATATATTTGAACATGACCTCAGCCGGAAACGAATTAAATGAAACGTGTAGGTATAATTATTTGCGGTTATGAAGAAATAATTCTATTTGTATATATTAGAGATCCGAAGTCGTATAATAGAAACCATAACTTATTCTAGCACCAAAAAAAAGGTTTTTTAACCACGACGCGAAAAAGACGGGGTGTTATAAGTTTGACGTGTCTCTCTGTGTATGTGTCTGTCTGTGGCATCGTAGCTCCCGAACGGAAGAACCGATTTTGATTTTGTTTTTTTTTTATTCGAAAGGTGAATTAGTCGGGAGTGTCCTTAGTTAGCCAATGTTTCATGAAAATCTGTCCAAGGTGGTCGGGGGTTTTTTTTTTAAATTCAAACATCACTTGTTATTAAATTTCAATTTAAAATGAAAATAGAATAGTGATTAACAGACTATACTCACTGCCTTGTTTGTCTTGAACAACGTCTAAGTTCAGCGGCAAAAACGCAGAACTCTCCAAACGTAAGTATGAGTGATTTTCGCCTCGCACACTGGCGCGCGCATACCAGCATTTCAAAAACTGTAACAAAAAGAAAAAAAAAACATATATAAAAATGTTTTATTCGAAGTTCTGCTATGCAATTTCGTACGATTTTACTTCGTACACTTTACTAATAAATAAATAAATATAAATATGTTGGGAAAATAACACACAGCACCATCTAGTTCCATGGTAAGCTAAGTACGAGGCTTGTGTTCTGGATATTTGATAGTTGATACACTACATATTATATACAACTTTAAATACATACATATTATAAACATAAACTCCCATGACTGGACTACAAACATTCGTACTTATCACACAAATGAATGCCCCCAGCGGGATTCGAACCCGCCACCGCTGGCACAGCAAGCAGGGTCACTACAAACTGAGTAAAACGTGTCGTCAAATAAGTAATAATTTAGATTTAAAACCCTATTCATAAACTCTATATGAGATGATTATAAGATATTAAAAATGCCCATTTATACGACTGCATAATGAAAGCAAGATTTTTTTTTAATAAAGTTTATACACATCTTCTTTCAGTCAAGAAATAGAAAATATTAACCTATTTAAGTTATAGTAGACGATTCGAAGTCAGCGGGTCTTCGTCCAATGCTTACGTACCATATAAATAGTATAATAATGTTTAGTATATTATCACGTTATTTTTAGCGATATATTTGTTTATGAGTTATGTTTAGTGAAAAGTAGTTTTCATCCAATAAGCAGATGAGTAAATGACTACCTCATTGTGGATCTAGGACTATCATTAGTTTTAATTTATCGCTTAGGTAGGTATATTTAAATTATTACAAAACTATGATAGACATTTTATTATTTTGTTATAAATAATATGTCAATAGAATTCATAATTTAGAAAAACCTGTAATTTTGCTTGGTGACAAAGAAACTTTAATTTTATTTCAGGGTATATACTATAAACTATACCTAAACCTACTATAATCACACCAAGCTTTTAGTTTGGAAATCCTTACGATATAAAGCCAAAATTAGTTTAAACACTTTAAAATCACATTAGCCACAGCTGTCGATATCAGTAAAATTACAATGGACATAATAATATGTAATTTAAGTCCTGGATTAATAAGCCTTTTTTTAACGTAGCTTCCACGCAAACAAGAGCTGTGAAGAAAAAATTATATTTTAATAGAACATTATTTCAGAAAGAAAAAATAATATTTTAATAGAACATTATTTTAGAAAGAAAAAAATATATTTTAATAGAACATTATTTCAGAAAGAAAAAATAACATTTTAATAGAACATTATTTCAGAAAGAAAAAATAATATTTTAATAGAACATTATTTCAGAAACAAAAAATAATATTTTAATAGAACATTATTTTAGAAAGAAAAAAATAATATTTTAATAGAACATTATTTCAGAAAGAAAAAATAATATTTTAATGGAACATTATTTCAGAAAGAAAAAATAATATTTTAATAGAAAATTATTTCAGTTTTATGAAATTCATACTAGTTTTTGTTCGCAATTCTTTTTATTTTAGACATCGTGAAAAATAGGTATATTTTCTGTCGCTAAAATAAAAACACTTGTAACCGAATATATTATTTTTATGAATACATGAATTTATTATAAGTAAATATTATTATTTTAATTATTAAATTATTTAGGTAGTTCTACGATTAAACTTTTTTTAGTTTATATTCAAAATTAGTAAAGCAGTAGGTATATGAGCACGTTTTATCTTATTTATGAACTGATGGTAATTTCTGTATATACATATTTTACACTTATAATAAAATATTTTTTGTTTCAATGTAACTTGCCTTCCTTGAACGTAGTGTGTCATATAGTCATTATAGGGCTGAGTAATAAAGGAAAACCTTTTAATTACAGCTCCATATGACTGCTTTATGTACTCATTAATAAATGACAAAAATAACAATAAAAAGCTCTTTGTTAAATGCCGACGTCATAAATATGACTATGATCATTATTTATTTCATTATATTTCGTAGTAAAGTAGACACTAACAAAGTAGCGACTAGTTTCTGCTTGTGGCTTTACCGCCATAATATTATGTTACATACAATTTATTTCAGTCATAATTTTATTTTATTTTTAGATATTTATGTAATTTAGGTCTATATATGTGGGATGAATGTCAAATATAAATGGTTTTTGTATTATCTGTGAAGTATGAATGAAAGGAAGAACGAGTGAAAAGGATAGAGTGTATTCGGCCATGATTGATTTGAGTATGAGTGTAGACAGTTTGAGAGAAGGAAAGGAAGCAAGCTGCATGTGCATTGTAAGACGATTAAAACTAATTAATAAACGTATTAAGGTGATACATAGTTTCATTGCTGGTATCCTCAATCCCACATAATATAATAAAATTGTAACTAAGCCGAATCTGTACATTAAATATTTCTTGAAAAATGTTATTGAAATAAACATTATTAATAATTATCGATAGAGAGGCCGAATCTATAGTTTTTAGAATTTTTGTCTGCCTGTCTGTTACCGCATCACAGAAAAACCACTGGAGAGATTTTGATGAAATTTGGTATGGTGATAACTGGTTATCCGGGTCAACGTATAGGAGCCGCGGGCAATGCTAGTATATGTGTAAAATAATTAAGTTATTTCACCATTAGTAGTACGTAGTGGAAGTTCAAAAGTTAACGTAACTGTAGCGGTAAATAGGAATTATCTATAGATTTTTAATGTATCATAATATATTGTGTCTCATTTTCATTTGTAAACATGATAGTAAACAATAAAATAACCATAACATGCGTAGTAATGACATACGTTTATTATGTAATGTATATTTTGAGACGGAATATTATTTATCTATACATTAAATATGTAAAATTTCAGCTTTGTAGGATAAGAGGAAGTGGTTCTAAATCAGCTTGCAAGATTTGAAGCTGTATGGGTTACATATAAAAAAGATATATTGTGTAAAAAAACTAAGATAAAAACAACGCTGCTTAGAAGAACGATTTTTTTAAAACATATAGTTAAGTTTAGTTCTAAGGTAATGGACTTTGAAGTAAAAATTAAAATAACTAAAATAGCATTGCGTTTATGTTATTTATGCGCTTTTCTACATAGAGGGGTGTTTTACTTAAAAGAAGGCACTAGTCACTAATGTTTTTGAAGTGAGCAATAGATGAGATCACTCCTGCGCTACACACCTGGTGTGAACGCAGATACGTAAACAACGAAATCACCGCTTATTCAGTTAATAAAACAAACGCACACTTATAATTTTAATTTTTTATTATATTCCTAAATTGTATTCAGCCCTTTTTAACGTCCTATTGCTGGACATGGGCCTCGCTTTTCGAGGGGGATCAGGCCATAGGCCACTACGCTGGCCAAGTGCGGGTTGGCGGACTTCACATATCTTTCAATAGCTTGTTAGGTTCTCTCAGACATGCAGCTTTCCTCGAAATGTTTTCCTTCACCGTAAGACAAGTGGTAGGGGCGGGCCTGGACCTATGCTTTCACGGTTCCCGCACGGCATGCTTTGCATGGTAGTATAGGCGCAGGCCTACCCTACTGTCTCCTTCAGAGACGGTAGGGGGGCGTTGGTCTTGGGGGAGAGTGACGTGTTCAGTCGCGAAGATTCCCAAGGCTAGCTCGGTGGACTATCCTTCTCGAGGTTGCCAGCCCTGTTTTTGGTCTAGTTCACTAGGAAATAGACATAACCGAAACCACCGGGCGCTTGTTGCTTTATTAAATATATTTATTTATGCTACAGATATTTATTTATATTACATTTATTAGTATTTATACAGTCCTTATCTTGTGTATATATGTGTATGTATGTACAGTAGTATGTATGTTGTATATATATAGTATGCATTTATTTATATATTTGTATATTAAACCCAATCCAAGGTGTCATCCGAACCGTGCCGAGGGATGCGTGGCTGGGGGGGAGCTCAGTCGCAAACGGTGGCTACCCGACACCTGGACGAATCGGGTAGTATTTCTGTCCTCCCATCGACATGCGGGGCTCTGTCGGTGGGCATGTTTAGTTCCCTAGCTTCTCGTGGGACGTATATGGAAGTCGAAAAAAATGAAAAACAAAATCAAACACCCAAACCTTTATCTCCAACAGGAGATCCTCTTTCTCCTCTTTTAGGAGAAACCATAACTTTGATGGAGGAGGTTTTATTAGCCTCTCCGTCAAAGGAATCTAACCCGAGGGCTGAAGGGACCAATCCGGCCGGGGAAGGAGTCATTGATGACTCCAACCCAGGGACGGAGGAATCCCTAAGCCGTCCGGCTAGATTAAACGGTGCTGCTCGGAAGAGACTCCGAAGGCTTCTGGCGGCTAATGTGAGGTTCGATGAAGCCCGCGCATTAGCCGTTAGGCCTTGGAAGGATATTCCGATCACAAACATTCCGCCTGACCCGAAGGCCAAGAAAAGGCCTAGGTCGGAGGAAGAATCGCCGGGGATGCAAATCAAAAAGGCTCCCCGTGCGGAGGGAAGGGTGGCACAACCCAGCTTCAGCAAGGTCGTGGAGCAATCTCGCGTGGGAATTAAAAACAAAGTTCCCATGAGTGGAGATCAAATGAAGTTGGTGCACCGATCCCTAACCCTAGCGATGCTTAAGATCACAGACAAGGGTGAAGGACCTAGATTCACCGGCTTTACCCACAGGCCGGGTTATATAGTGATCACCTGTGAGGACCAGGATAGTCTCAAATGGCTGTCCGAGAAGGTCCCCACCCTAAAACCCTGGAGTGAGGCGGTGCTCTCAATAATCCCTGAGAGCGAACTACCAAAGCCTGCTGTAGGGACTATATTTATCCCTAACTCTGAGGCGGAGTCGCTAGACGAGGCCACTCAGTTGCTGGGGATACAGAACAGAGGGCTCAACACGGAGCTCTGGAGAGTTGCGCACAGTAGGGCCGAGGGAAATGGACACGTTGTGTCCTTCTTCCTGGACGACGCTTCTCTGGCAGCTCTCCGGGCTATGAACCTTGAGGTCGTTCTTGGTTTTAAGAAATTACTTTTTA